CGGCGTGCTACGTCCGTGCGCAGAACGCTCAGTGCGTCGGGCGGGCGCGGCGGCGCCGCGGGCGGGAGGGGTCCGGGCGCAGCCAGGGCTAGGGGCGCGTCACTCCTCGGGGTGGGCGGGGCTTGTGTGACGTCGTTGGGCGGGGCGGTGGTGATGTCATCGCGCGGGCGCGGCCCTGGGCTTGAGGCTGGTCCTCCCGCTGGGCAGGCGGGGCTGACCGGCTCTGTCGTCACGGTGGGTGGGCCACCCTCCGGGAGTGGGCGGAGCCTAGCACGGGACAGCGCCACGCGCGGGGCGAGGCCGGGTAGGGCGTGGCGGCGGCCTCTTCGGCCTGGCTGCGGAGCGCCGCGGGGCTTGGGGCGGCTCTGTCGCACGCCTGTGGGCGTCGGGGCGAAGGGTGGGTCCGGCAGAGGCGCGGCTCCCGGAGGGCCGGTGGGACGAGAAGCGCGCGCTCCTGCGTGTTCCTTCCACCTCCGGGGCTGGGAAGTGGCTGTCTCGTGCGCTTTCAACTTGTTAAACTCACACGCTCCTGAGTGGCTGACAGCGCGGCGCCAGAGGGCGGCGCCCTTACCGTCCGGTCGTGCGGACGCCCAGGTGTGTTGAGTGTTGGGAAGCGCGCCGTCTCACACGTGGGAAAAACACCGACGAGTCCCGTTTACGGGTACGTGAAATGCTGGGGTTTCGGCCGGGCGAACGTGGCCGAGGCGACGCGGGCAGGAAACGGGGGACTCGGACCCTGGGCAGCACGCTGCTCAGCTTCTCGGAAAGGCGCTCGCGTCCGGCCGACTCGGTGCTGCAAGTACCGGGCCTCGACTTGCACGTGGTTTCTGAGAAGCACGACCGCCCTTGATCACTTCATTTTCCGGAAAATTCCAAGTTCACTGTTTTTTAGCATATTCGGTGACTTCCAAGGAAATTTTAGTTAAATGTATGTCGATAGGGCTAGTTCCACCCCATCCCCCTTCCTCTTCGAACCTCGTTACTGGTAGCCTTGGATTACCACCTTTGGGCAGGGACTATCGGAGAGAAATACAGCACACTTACATGTTTTTAAGTTCTTGGCTGACATGTGCTCTTCCCTGCCATGTTGCAGGGTTTCAGGAATGACAACTTGATACCTACGCATTAGCTACAGGGACAAAGCCTGGCGTCGTCAGGACAGAGCAGTGACAGCCCACAGACCACTTTGCTGACTCAGCTGCAGTCGGCCCTGTTAGACTGGAGGAATCACACTTCCTGACGTGGACTTTGGGGTGGGGGAAGCACTGACATGCATTGGTAACTTTGCCAAAGTCTCATTAGTACTTCCACTAGGTTTTCAGTTCCTTGAGGGCAAGAATCATTTTTATTACGTTTATCAGCATATCCTCAGGCTGGATGAATAAACATAACCTCCCTCCTTCCCTCATCTGTGAGTCTATGTAATTATGTATGCATATATGTGTGTTGATAGACATAAATACCTATCTCATAACAACCTGGCTTTGGGCAGCGGTTCTCAACCTGTGGGTCGTGACCCCTTTGGGGGTCGAATGACCCTTTCACAGGGATCGATAAGACCATCGGAAAACATATTTCCGATGTTCTTAGGAACCGACACCGCTCCTCTTATCTGTCTCCAGGGAGGTCCGCCCACATGAAGTTAGGCCCACATACAACATGAGGAACTGTACTAAAGGGTCGAGGCATTAGGAAGGTTGAGAACCACTGCTCTAGGGTGTAGAACACTCAACTTGGGTAGAGCTCACTAAATATCAGACAAAGGAAGTGGTTTTACCTTTCTTCACCAAATTACATTATGTAAACTGCAAATACAGGTTGCGGGGGTGGGGGGGGCAAAAGTAGATTTGCAGTTGTGAGTATGCGAAACAGAGTTTATTCTTGTACTATTTATTAATTATTGTATTATTGTCCATATTAACTACTATAAACCTACTTTTGCCCACTGCTGTAATATAAAATGGTGAGTCAAAACCCTCTTCCTATGCAGCAGCTTAATGTTCAAATGCCACCCTCCACTCATGACTAAGTTACTACCTCATGACTAAGTTACTACCTCACAACAAGTAATTGCTTTGATAACCCAGGAAGGAAAATGAGCCTTTCCTCTAAGAAGTTGTAGAATCACATCCTACAGATAAAGACTTGTATGAGCACAAGCCACAAGAAATCCTGCATGTCTGTGATAAAGTATTTGACCTGGACATTGAAGAGAAGTGTCCATGTTGTACACCAATCAGCCTCTGGCCTCAGCTGCCATTGTGAGCCCACTTCCCTGTATTTGGTCATACCAGCAAGGTAGAACATCTCTCTGCACCAAGTCTAACAACAGGCCCAGTTCTGTTCTTAGGTTCTTACTAGTATTTTATTCTTTATACCCCTCAATGTCCTGTGACCGCTTCATATTACCTCTTTCCTTCCCTTCTGTGCAGACAGTTCTCCAATGAAAGGCTCTGCTTTCTCAGAGGAAAAGAAGAGCGTCATTGTGCGTGTTCTAGAATAACACTGAAGTTTCAGCCTCTGCTCTCATCCTTTCTGATTTCAGAGAAAAGTGCTGCCTCCTCTTTCAGTTTATTCCTTTCTGCTTTGTTTTAGATCCCCTCCTACCTAGGTCTGGGCCTTAACTGTCCTGTCCACCCATTCCATCTCTCCCTGTCCCAGCTGCATCCCCAACACTGCTTCAGAGGTTTCATTGTAGAGGCGGAAGCCACGCTGACTCTCATTTAGATTATTTAATAGTTGTCTGCATATTTCTTTCTCCTAGCAATTATGAGCTACTGGAGGTCCAGACTGTATTAGCTTTCCATCTCTAGCACTCTACAGTGTCCATGTCATCAAATGAACTCTGTAAGCCATGTGTTGAATGAAGATAACAGAGTATTACAAGATAAAATGTAATTGCATGTCAATGAGTTATTTAGAAAATAATTTTTAAGAAGTCTGAGGGCCCTGTCAGTTTTCCTCAGTGGTTAGAGTGTCGGCCCGTGAACCAAAGAGTCACAAGTTTGATTCCCCTCAAGGGCACCTACCTCAGTTGTGGTTCGGTCCCTGCCCTGGTCGGGGTCATGCAGGAGGCAACCAGTCGATGTGTCCCTCTCACATCAATGTTTCTCTCTCCTTCCCCCCCACTCTATCTGAAGATAATAGAAAAATATCCTCGGGTGAGGATTAAAAAGAAAAAAGTCCAAGGAAAGATTATTTTAGCTTCCTCTATAGCCATTTGTTTGGCATATATGGGGGAGACAGTGAGTAAGAGGGAATAGCATTTGCAAAGCCTGTGATCATGATTGGACAACACAAACACAACCTGCTTGGTGGTGAAAGAGATGGAAGCAGGGAGTGACATGAGATTCATGTGCTAGATGATTGGCTACAATGCAGGATGGATTGGTAGGGCTGGTATGAAAGAATAGAGTCAAGACAGAATTATCTTGACAGGAATTAGTGATTGCTCTCTGGGCAAGGGAGAAGGGTCATTCATGCAGTATGCCTGTGGGTGACTGTTTTCTCAGTTAACAGAAGAATGATACAGAGGTTAAGAGAATACTTGGCATCAGATCATCCACCACCCTGCTGTGTGACCGCAGGCAAGCAAATTAATCTTTCTGGTCCCCAGTCTCCTCATCTGAAGAACTGTAACATGCCTACCTCATTCGGGATGCTATGAGAATTAAATGAATTACCAAATTCATTTTGAAAAACCAAATGCAGTTTTAGTTTGGTGCTTCATTTAGAGCAGTCCCTAAATAAAACATAGCTATCACTGATGTTTCCTTTCCTAACTTCCTTTTATGTTTTTCATAAGTGCTCATAAGTGGAAATGAAAAAGGTAGGAGTGATATGTTCAAAACCAGAGTATAATTAAATATAAAAGGCGTACTGGATCTGTTAATTCCATGGACAAGGAGCTGAGTAAATGGCCTTTGTCTCTGGAACATATAGATGGATCCATAAAACTGTAAACTGGTTCATAGTAGCATGTGACTCAAAAATACAATGTCTGAAAAATAAATTTTGTATCTACAGAAAAACTGACATCAAAAGTACAGACTATTAGTGATATGCTCACTGATGTATTGCTTAACTCTGTGTGTGAAAACAGTGTGATCTTTTCTAAGCATTATTTGCATACTAAACAAATGCAAAACAGCTGAGTGTGAGTTACAGGGTGCCTCACTGGAAAGGGACCTGCACCACTCCGTTCTGCACGTGCTAAAATACACCTGAGACGCACAACATTTGTCTTACTGATTCATCTCTGGTCTGTTGTGTCACCTGGAAAGCCATCCTTTCAACGGCCGCCTTTTCAAATGCATTGATTCCGACTGTCTCATAGGTGTGTTTTATCAAATGACAACAAACGGGGAAATGATCTGTAACGTGCAAAGCCTTATACAGACGAAAAAGCCGTTCCTTCCCTGATGGCAAATCTGCGAAGTCGGACGCTGTTTCAGGACTTGATATGTACACCGCCTTTCCAAGGGCCAGGTCGGAGCCTCTGCGGGTCCAGGTGCCATCAGGCTAAGTGGAGCCGGTTACGCGGCAGCGGACGCGGCAGCCAAGCCTCATTTTTTTCTTTTTGCCCCGCTTCTGCCGGCCCCACAGAGGAGTCAGCCCAGCTTCGTTCCCGCACCAAGAGCTGCACCGCCCAACACCCGACAAGGCGGGAGACCACAGGCTTCGCCAGCCTCTCCCGGCGCCACCTGCCTTTGAGCGCAGGTAAGTCCCAGGCCAGCGATCGCTCGGCCCTCTGCTGCTCATGCCTGTCGGTTGCTAGGAGTCGGAACGCGCAGACGCGTTGTTGGTGGCCGCGGGGCATGCTGGGCCCGAGATAGCGGGGCTCTCAGCTGCTCTCGCTTCCTGGTTGCTAGGCGTCGAGCACACGCAGGCGTGCTAGGGGAGGCCGCGGAGCAGGTCGGGCCAATGGTAGCTCGGCTCTCCGCTGCTTAGGCCTGCCGGTTGCTAGGAGTCGGCGACGCCGGCTGGGCGGAGGATACAGCGTAGCTGCGCGGCCTCCTTGGCCTGCGAGCGGCATGGAGCCCGGCAAGGTGAGTGCGCACGGGCTGCGCGTCGTGCCGGGTGAACCGCGGAGTCTCTGGGAAGTTTTTAAACTTGGGGAATTGGTTCAGTCGCCCCACCAGTCACCGGGCGGTCCTAGGCCCGGGCCGGACTCCGGTCCGTGACGCAACGAGGTCAGAGGTCGCGACCTCGCGTTACCGCTCAGCTTCTGGACGCGGGCCGTGTGTGCGGTTTTCAAGGCCGTGCGCGGTTTACCGCTCCGCCGCCGCCGCACGGAACGTCCGCAGACCCGACCCTGTCTTCTATCCCTGCCCCTCCGGCTTTCATAGGTTGTCGCGTAGCGTAAGTGCCCAGTGATTTGTTAGCGGGTGTGTTTGTGAAGTGAAAACCGGACTCTGGGAGGGCTGCCGAGCCTGCTCCCCGCGCCGGGCGGGGCGGTCGCGCCGGGAGCGGCCTGGTGCGGGGCATTAGATCGTCGCGTTCAGAACGAAAACTCGAGGTTCCTTCCCTTCGAGGAAGAGTGTGTGACTGTGTGTGTCTGTCTGTTGTGTGTGTGTCTCTCTGTGTCTGCCACTCTGCTCTCTCCATCCTCTCTTTCTGGAACTCGGATTCAGTCTCTCATTAGATGTCCTGGAGGCTTGTATTTTCCATCTCTTTGCCTTTTTTTTTCTTATTATTTTTTTTTTTTTGTATGCATATATATTCTGGGAGATTTCTCCAACTTTACTGTTAGCTTTGTCTACTTAAATGTTTTACTTTGTTTAAGTTAATATTAACAACTTTTGGTCTCACAGTGCCCGTTTTTATAGCATATGTTTTAACTTGTGCCTATAATTTTTTTTTTAATCTTCCTGAGGTTGTAACTTTTATGCCTTTTTTAAATAAAATAAATATTTTTCTACTTTGGGGGGTCATTTTCTCTATTTGTTTATCTTGATTCTTCTCTCTTTTATTTTTTTATTTTTTTATCATCCTCACCCGAGGACATTTTTCCATTTTTTGTTTAGGTAGAGTGGGAGGGAGAGAGAGGAAGAGAGAAAGAGAAACATCGATGTGAAAGGGACACATCGAGTGGTCGCCACCCGCACAACCAACCAGGGCCGGGGACAAACTGCAACCGAGGTACATGCCCTTAGCGGGAACTGAACCCTGGTCTCTCCGGACTCCAGGCCAATGCTCTAACCGCTGAGCCAAACCGGCCAGGGCTTCTCTCTTTTTTTTTAAACACCCTTGCCTGAGGATAGTTTTCCATTTATCTTCAGATAGAGTGGGAGGGAGAGAGAGAGAGACACATTGATTGGTTGCCTCCCTCACGACTCCGACTCCGACCAGAGCTGGGGACCAAACCACAACCGAGATACGGATACGTGCCCTTGATCAGAATCGAACCACTGAGCAAAACTGGCCAGGGCTCTCTCTTCTTTTTCATCCTCACCTGAGGATATGCTTTTATTGACTTTTGAGAGAGAGGAAGGGAGAAGGAGAACATTGATGTGAGAAACATCGGTCTGTTGCCATGTCCAGACTGGGGAATCAAACCCGAAACCTAGGTATGTGCCCTGACCAGGAATTGAACTGGAAACCTTTTGGTGTACTGGATGGTGCTCCAACCAAACAAGCCACCCCACCAGGGCGATTCTTTTCTTTCTTCTGTTGGTTTTTCTCAAACACCTGATGGACATTTCATATTTATGAATGAAGCCCTGGATTAATTAAAGTAAGTTTCTGAGTGTCAAGGGACTGGCGCTCACAGGCCGCAGAGTGACATGGAAAAGGTGAGGACTGCGTGGTACCTACGCTCGGCCCAAGCCTTGAAGCAACACGGACATTGCATTATAAAGTAGCCGAAGGAACATATTTTGTAATAATTTATAGGTAATTCTAGACTAGTGAATAATTTTTAAGAATTTGTATTTCTGTTAACTTTTATTCTGATAGAGTCAGAAAATTCTTGCGTATTAAGGACTAATTGTCACTGTCTAAAATGGCCAAAATTTTAAACTTGGAAAATTATAAGTTTCTACTTTCCTTTTTAGAAAAGAACCAAAGATGATACATGGAAAGCAGATGACCTCAGAAAACACCTTGGGGTAAAGTATTTAAAAGATTTGAGCTGGGGTCCGATTGGACAGTTTTTCCTGGTGTGGCTCATTGCAGGGGTGTTTTTGACTCAGAGGCAAAGGCATGTGGTTAGTAGCTCTGGGTCTGTGGCGGGAAAGGGTTTCCTAGCCCAGGCTGCATCTCACCAGCTCTGTCGGGTTTCTGTCATGTTCAGAACCCAGGTGTGTGTGGACGTGTGTGGTACGCATGTGTGTATGTGGATGGAGGCTTGGAGGTTGAGATAGAGACCCCCTGAGTGCTGTGTAACCCTGGTGGCCCCTGTCTCGGAGACTATGACACTGCTGCAGTATCCCGTTCTTTTTCTTCCTGATCCATGTAGTGTTTTAGATTTGACTTGACGGCAAACGCAAATGTGTGTCTGTCTCATAAGTGGACACTGGTCTTCAGTCATAGAAATGCTAAGTGTGACACCACCTACGTGGTTGTGGAGATTTCTCCTGACCTTCCTGGGTGGAGGGATGGGACACAGGGGCAGCCAGTGTGTTTTCAGGCCTTTCACTGAGTGTAGCTGTCATGTCAGAAACCCCTTCCTCCTTCTTGCTCTAGGCTGCACATTTGGGTACTCCCAGGGAAGATAAGAAACACAAGGAAAAGAAGCTACATAAGGACTTGGAAACTGACCTCCCAGAGTCCAAGGAGCGGAAGCCCAGAGACCCAGACCGGGACACCAAGCACAGAGAGAGGGTGGTGGACAGAGATGACCACAGCTCCAGGGAGCGTCCTCGTGAGGACAGAGACAAGGAGAGGCCACGGGAGAGGAGAAGGGATGCCCGGGACCCTGATGGAGAGAAATTGAGGGACAAGGCCCGAGAGCGCGACACAGAGAAGCACCAGAGCAGAGTCAAGGACCCTGAAAGGGACTGCCGAGAGCACCGTGTGCGGAGGGAGGAGCCCAAGCCCGCCGCTGCGCACCACAATCTGCCTGAGCACAGGGCGCGGTCAGGTGTGTGTGCTGGGCTGTGGTTTCTGTGCTGGGCCTGTCCTGGGGGGTGAGTGCCTCTGAAACGCTCCTTCCCATGTCACCCTCTCTCTTGGTTTCAGATGGTTCAGCCTTGCGTTTGGCTGTGTCCTGCTGAACTGTGCACTTTGCAAGGTGGTTTCCTTTTGGTATTTTAAAACTCATTTCAGTGAATGAAAGGAATAACAATTGGTGGGGGGGGTGGATGGCAGCAATGGGCTGCAAATGGTGCCTTCATCTGTCACAGGGGCCTCTTGCCTCCGCAGAGCCCTCAGGAGTGAAGTCCCCCGGTCACCCCAAGGTGGCATTGACTCCTTTGCAGCTGAGTACTTGGCGGAAATGTCTGCCCCACGGGGCCCTTTTTTTCTGGGCCGGCTGTGGTGCCCTGAGCACCTCTGTCGGAAACACAGGACCCTGGAGGGACCTCTGAGTTTCCAGCAGTGAGTCTTACATTTGCCCAGTTGCCCCGGCAGCAGTTGCCACCGTCACCTCCTGTATTCCACTTTTAGTTTGGATTCTAGGACTCTCCATTCTTGAGACTGTAGAATGTGTTCTAATCGAAGAATATGGTTTCATGTGCTAATACATAATTTTGTAATGCAGTGTGTACAGTAAAGATTGCAGCAAGATGTAAGGAGACCTTCTTGATATCTGAAGTTCGGGAATGTTAAAAATAAGTTTTCTTTTTGTAGTAAGTAAAGTAAGAACTGAAGAGAAGGAGAGGAGAGATAAGGACTCTGAAAGAAGAGATGAAGAGAGAGAAAGAAGGTACCGAGAAAGGAAGGTACGCAGACCAGACCCCAAAACACTGCAGGTAGATGATACACTATTAGAGGCATTGTGGGAAACCCTGTAACAGACTTCAAGGCCTGAGAAGATATTGGGGTAAGCTGCGTTTAGTTATAAGTTATGAAGTGTTGAGGCGTAGAGCCCCTTCACCACACAACATTACACAAGTAGTCACCTGTGCTGTGTTCTGGGTGGTCCTCATTTTTTTTTAGCATTTAAATCTTTAAGCCCCATAGAAATTATTCTGGTGGTGGGTGTGCAGTCAATGAAACTGAGTTTTGTCTGAGGCTTGTTGGCATTTCTTGGAACGTGTCCTACAGAGATGAGCAGGGTGGGGGCATGGAAACTCTTAGGGGCCACCGGAACAGAGAAGCATGGGGGACGGACATGAGGAGCATGCGGTCAGAACCCTGACCGTGGAGCAGTGACCAGGGAGTGCTGATCTGTGTGAATAGAGGCTTAGTTCTGGGTTCCGTGGGGACATGAAGCTCCCAGAGCTGGTAGTCTGAGCACAAGCATCACACACCAACTGCCTGGCCTGCACACCAGCACCCACCACCAGTGATGGGCGTCATGTTATCACTGAGCATCCACAGTGGTCTGGGGTACAGTGATGACTCATCCACAGTGCCCGGTCCTCAGCGTGTCCCTGTGCAGGGAAGGCAGGTGTGTGAACTGCCACAGAGAAGCCTGTGGGGCAGCCCATGCATAGAGGGGTCACAGAAGTGCTTGTGTGTTGTGCAGCTGGGGATGTGTCGGAGTTGGGGGGAGGGTGACAAGTGTGACAAGGACGGGCTGTGGAGGAGACCTGGACTCTACAGGGATTTGGCCATGGTTCCCACATCAGGGTGAGGACACTGAGCTGCAGGGTCTCGTCCCCTGGGTGGGTGGGGCAGGGGCTTTCCTTTCTGGAGGGGTCATCAGAGCGGATGTGTGGGAAGGCCCCTGGCGCAGGATGGAGGGCTGGAGGGCAGTGGTGGTTCGGCCTTCCTTGCTTTTGTGGTAACCAAGACAGCGAGCTCGTCTCCACACGCTGCGTTTCACTGTCCCTTCGTAGTTGCAGTATGGTGACAGCAAGGACAACCCCCTGAAATACTGGCTGTACAAAGAGGAGGGAGAAAGAAGACACCGGAGGCCCAAAGAGCCCGATCGAGGAAAGAAGGTTCTAGAGAAAAGCAACACAAGAGAACGAAGAGAGAAGTATTCAAAGGAGAAAAGCAGTTCACTCTCTGAAAATGACAGGGACAAGAGACTCAGAGAAAAACAACACAAAGGTGCTCGCATGGAGGAGGAGAGGCACCGAGGCAGCATGGGCAGAAAAGAGAGGTCTTCGAAAGAGGAGCACAGGAAACGGGAGCCCAAGGTTTGTGTTCTGGTGCCGGTTGCCCTGGGACCGCCCCAGGAGGCACCCCTACAGCTGGAGCCACCTCTGAGTGCAGCCAGGGCTGAGACCTGTGGGCTAAGAGGCATCGCCTTGTAAGACGTGATTCATGTCTGTTGTGTGGTCAGTACATAGAGATTCCTGACCTGGGACATAGGAAGCACTTTTAACACATATTCAGAAAACTATCATAACATTTTGAAATTTAATAAGCTGATGTTTTTAAAAGTGAAAATTAAGTGAATAACTTAGCAACATGTTTCAACCAGACTTGATAGTCTGTCTGCAAACAAAACAGAACACACAAAAAACTGTTGATCGTAAGGGTCCAGTCTTCCTCCTGTGTATGTTAAGACGATTACTGTAGTTGCTTAACGTTTTCCTGCATTCCCTTTAGCATCTTTTGTTTTCACGTATACGCTTTTGCTGCGTGGCTCCCAGACTCTGAGGCGAATGTGACTTCATGTGTTTCTTGGTGGTGATCCCTCCAAGAGGATGCAGCGGGTTAGTCTGGTTGTGGTGAATCCCAGGCCTGTGCTCTCCTGAGCCCTGAGGACACCGCGGCCTCTGGGTCACCATCCGGCAGTGCTTTCTACCAGCATCCTCACCCTTTCTCAACAGCCCACCTATATGTCCATTTCTTCACTGGAATATTTTTAAAATTGTACTAATGTAAGAAGATTGTTTAAATGTTTCTCTACAGGTACCTAGGTCTGTGAAAAGCCACATTTGAAAGTTTAATTTTAAGCTCTGAAGAGAATATGAAATTGCTCAGTATAACTTTCTCTTACTGAGCTAATACATAGTCACCTTTTAGTACATCTACCTTTATTCATCCCCTTGCACAATTACCTAACTGACTAAAAATACTGGTAACAACAGCTATCTTATGAGATACCTGTTGTTAAATTTTGAGTCCCTGTTTGTTTACAGAGTTTATTTTATTTTACTTTATTTTTTTAAATCTTTACTCAAGGATACTTTTCCGTTTATTTTCAGGTAGAGTGGGAGGAAGAGAAGGGGAGAGAGAGAGAAACATTAACATGAGAGGGACACATCGAGTGGTTGCCTCCACACAACCCCGACCAGGGCCATGGACCGAACCACAACCGAGCTACGTGCCTTTGACCAGACCTGAACCCGCAACTCTTTGATCTGTAGGCCAACACTCTAACCACTGAGCCAAACCAGCCAGGGCTTTTTTTTTTTTAATATATTTTTTTATTGATTTGTATTTTAGAAAGATGTGAAGGGAGAGAGCGATAGAATTATCGATTGAGACAAACCCGATCAGCTGCCTCCTGCAGGCCCCCCACTAGGGATCGAGCCGGCAACCCGGACACGTTCCCTGACTGAGAATCAAACTGGGACCTCTCAGTCCATGGGACGATGCTCAGTCCACTGAGCCAGTGGCCGGGCTTACAGTTTATTTATTATGCTTAACTGTTATGATTTACTGGCTGATGGCTTGGCATTTGTTTTCTTTTATAGAATGGTGAACACAGAAACCGAGGTGGAAGTTCAAAGAGAGACGGGACTGGTGGCCAGTAAGGAATACGCGTCCTTTGGTCGATTGTTATGTATAACACACAGAATGCTTTGAACTGGATTGTTCTTATTGGGCCTAGTTATAGCCAGTAAATGGCAATAAACCATGGATGTACTTCACTTACCCCTGCAAATTATATCTCAGGGGCACTAGAGGAATTTGGAAACTTCTTGCCAATTATTGATCCAATTATGCCTTTTTTATATGTGCTTATACAAAATTAGAAAATCAGAACTCACTTTGGGGGAGTAACTCGTTTGGAAGATGGCCCCTCCACGTAGGACTGTCCAGCCTGGGAGGGCAGAGTGTCTGCAGGGGGCTGTTGGTCCACATCCAATAGACATTTGACACACCCATTTTGTATATAAACTCTACATTTTAGTGTATTTGGTGGCCATGTGCTTCTTTTTCAGAGATGAGGAAAACACAGGCTAAATGCCTTGCCCGGATTCTTACAAGTGTGAGTGAGCTAGCACTTACCCTGGGGGCAAATTCCTAATCTTTGTCCTGCCAGCCTGCTGGGGTGCCCAGAGGAGCTGTGCTCAGCTCCCGCCTCCCAGCCCACATGCACATTGAACTGGTATGAATGGACATTCCAAAAATTGAGAATCAATTTGAAATTTTGAAAGCCTTAATTTTAGGTCCCAACTAACATAGAGCATATGATTAAAAAATAGGACATTCAAGATAAATCTTTGGAATCCTAATATTATATTTAACATAAAATAACATTTGGGATTGACTAATAAAATTACAGGAATTTTCTAGAACTTGTATAAGGATGTAGATTCATACACAAGTTTGTTAAAACAGTTTCTTCATTGAAGATACTTTGTGTCTCGGATCACTGTTGAAACAGTAGAAGTGCTAGGAAGACTTTCGAACTTACAGCTCTAATAAAGCACACTTTGGGAAGTTGCCAACTTACAGCAGTTCTTAATCTTTTCAAATATTGAGAAGAGCCTTTGCTGACATACAAAATGTTTTATTTTTAAATTATTTTGGTTTTGACCATATTTTCTTTCTAGGCATCCAGAGACTGTAGTGAGGAACAATGAAAAAGATAAAGACTCGAGAAGGAAGGTAAGAACCTCACGTTGATCTTACTGTGCAGTAAGGTCAACTGGCACCTCCGTCTGCCTTATGGCTCATTGGAGTGGAGATTCCTGGAGGCAGATAGGAGACACTTGGACAGAGGACTCAGATTGAAGGTGAAAAGATGGACCAGAAACCATCCAACAACAACTGTCGCAGAGCAGGGGCACCATCAGCTGTTCCCATGCTGGGCAGAGTCACTGTGCCCCCTCTCTCATTGGTACTAGGCAGGAGGTGCCATAATCTCCCCATTTCTGAGAGGAGAGACTGAGGCACAGAGAGTCACCCCATCGGTACAGTTCAGAGCTGGGACCCGATTCCCTAACTCCTGATGGCAGCACCTATAGGGAGGAGGGGTGGGCGGTCTGTGGGTGTCCTGGAGACCCTCTCTCGACTGCTGACCTGGCCGTGCTCTGTCCCCCAGCACAGCCTCGACGAGGGCCCTGCCACATGGACACTGTCTCCCAGGCTGGAAAGTGAAGATACTGGGGTAAGGGGTGTCCTGCGATGTGTAGGCAGGGGGCGGGGGTGCGTCCTGTGCAGACACAAGCCTCTCTCATGATGGCTTGCTCCCATAGCACCTTGGACTGGGGGGCAAGTACTCCTGGACCACAGAGAAAAGGAAGGGGAAGAGGTTTTAATGTGACGTTTGTGTTCACACTGGTTTGACAGTCTTCCATCGTGTCACAGGCTGTCTCGGTTCAGGGCTGCAGGGGGACTGGCTGCCCAGGCCCGGTACCTCCCTCCATGTGGATGAGGTTGGAAGACTGTGCACTGCATTTTGCAGGGAACAGGCTCAGGTCGAGTGAGCAGCCAGCCTTCTCCTCCGTGCTATGCATTTACATTCAATAGTTTGGGGAGAATTGAAGAAACTGAATAGAGATGTTGCAAAAGACGAGGCTCAGGCTGTTGTCAGTGAGAGCTGTTGCAGTCACAGATCATTTTTGGAAATGTGTGCTGCTCAGAGAGGAAGGCAGTGACAGGTTCTCTTATGAGCGAGGACCGCTGATGACTGAGGAGCTCTTTCCCAACCGGACGGGGAAGCACAGGACGCTCTGCTCGCTGCCGCCACAGAAGGTGGCTGAGCTGGGATGGCGTCGTCCTGTCACTGTCCTCACTGGGCTCTGGATGTGCAGAGACAGGAGAGGTCACCTGCCCTCCCTGGCGGAGAGCCTGGCACTCTGCGGGGTGCTGTGCGTGTTTGCCGAGGGGACGACTGTCGGATGTTTTGCGGTCACGGGTGGCAGTGAGCTGGAGCACAGGTCAGTGGGGCGGTGCTGTGACTGGTTTAAACCCCTGCACTACATTTGCTCTGGTTTCTCTTACCAGTCAACAGGTTGTGCCATAAAGGCTGTGTGTGTCATCACCATACCCTGGTGACTTTATATGATGATGTGCCAAGAGCGCCTCTTCCTGGGGCAGTTTTCCTATAAAGTTTTATTTGCTCAAAATAGTTCTCCCCCTGCCCTGGCCGGTTTGGCTCAGTGGTTGGAGTGTCGGTCTGCGGACCAGAGAGTCCTGGGTTCGGTTTCCACTAGGGGCATGTACCAAAAAAAAAAAAAAAAAAAATAGCTCTCCCCAAACCTCAGGCAATGAAGGATTCCTGGCAACCCTTACTCATCCTTAAGACCCAGACCAGGTGGCCTTATGGTGACCTGTGCAATGTCCCCAGGCCTCCAGAACATGACTGAGCACACCTGCTACCACAGGACTCTGGACCCTCTATGTATCCCCAGATTGCAGGGGGTGAAGTTGGTACTGAGGGGCAGCCTGTCTCCCCCTGACGGAACGGATGGGGAGGTGCTGAGTACGAGCTCCACACCTGAGACCTCATCACTGATATTTAAGTCACTGGAGCACCTGACAGTTCTGACAGGTGGGGGGGGGGGGGGCGTGCGTGTGTGTGTTCCTGACTATGCAGACGTAGGGATGTATTCACGGACAGGACACAGACCAGGGAGAGGCAGTGGTTAAGTTTGGAATTTATTTGTATAACACTTTTTTTTCTTTAGCCACCAGAATTACTGAAGTTTCTCAAAAAGGATGTGTTTATTAACTGTTTTCTCTTTTTGGTCATACTAATAAGTTAGCAAATTCCTAAAGACTTTGAAGGTAGGTTGTTAGATTTATAAATATCAACACTTTTAAGTTAGCAACTTCAAACGAATCTCAGAAAACATGTATTTTCCCAACCTATTTGCAAGATTCAAATTTATAATTGAGTACTTTTGTTATGTGTTTGGTTTTTACCTCTAGGAAATTGAAAAGGATGACATCAACTTAGAAAATGTTGGCGCTGATGACTACACAGCCAGTTTTGAAGATGATTTTGAAGTATGTGTAAACATTAAAGTTTTTCTCGGCTTAAAATAACGTGTTCCTAACTTACAGTCATTTACAGCTTTTCTCTTTTACTACTCTTAAGGACATATCTGTTTGGTTTAGGTCTGTTATCTATAAAACGTTTGCTATACCACTACCAATGCTTACCAGTTGATGTAATGATAGTATAATATAATCCATTGTTAAATGAGCTGCAAATACAGATATGTGTGTACACAGAGCATGTACAACACACCCACAGTCTCAGCACAGCGACAGCTGCACATCACTCATAAGAGTGCTTCATGTGTGTAGTTCTGTAGGGTTGGTCCATTCATCAAGAAGCAAATGCAATATTTCATACCAATTTGTGATTCAGCGACTGAAGTTGGTGACCTCCCAACATCTTTCCTAGCCACAAGGAGGACTGTCTATTTATATTACTATTTTAAAACAACTTTTAGATTGAATTTTTTGAGGTGATACTGGGTAGTAACACTGTACGAATTTCAGGAGTGGAAGAGGATAATCTGACCTCTGAGTTTCCAGTGTGTGCTCGTGTCGTCTCCTGCCACCGTGTATTCAAGACCCCTTGACCCAGTTCACCCTCCCCATTTGCAGGAGGGCCATCTTCTACCCCGTCACTAGCGCCCATGTTGTCTTTGGAGCTGAGAGCGGTCTTACAGGCAGCACAGCTGGGTCTTGTTTTCAGTCCGTGAGTGGAGCCATTTACCTTTAGGGCGATTTCTGAGAGATGAGGACTCACTGTTTCCTGCACTCTGTCTCCATTGTTTCTTTCCTCTGTAGTTTGTCTGCTGTTTCAGTGCAATGGTTTTCTGTGATGTTTTTCTTCATTTTCTCTTTTTTAATGTTTTGGTCCCTGCTCTGGATTGTTTTTTGGTTCGTGAGGTTTGTCTCACGGATACAGTTGTCCTTTTCCCTCTGACAGTGCCTTCCTTCACTGATACAAGTTCAGCCCTTTTCCCCCCGTCCTGTTTGTTTTGTTGTCACAAACTATCCTTTTTATGTGTTATGTTCAGTAACAAATGGCAGTGGTTTAGTAATTTTTAGTGCTTCTTTTTGTTACCTTCATGTTACAATTGTTTGATAACCTGTCCTGAAGTAGAGTCAACTCCGGCCTCTGCCTGTCCGTCGTCTCACTCGGCTCTGTGCACCTGTCTGTGCTCAGTGCAGGGCCCCCCCCCCCCCCCCCCGCACTCGCCACACAGGCCCCCGCTGGTGAGCACCCTCAGCTTCCTTTGTCTGGGAGCCTTCATTTCCCCATCGCATCGACAAGGTGACTGTTGCTGGACTTATTATTCTTGGCCAGTGGCTTCTCTCTCTCTGTGTTTTTTGAGTCCGTCATTTCACTCTCTTCCAGCCTGTAGATCTCTGTTGAGAAATAAGACGATAATCTGATGGGGTTTTCTTTGCTGATTTATCTTTTTTCCCTGGCTGCCTTGAGAATTCTTTATCATTGACTTTTGACAGTTTTTTTCTTTTATCTTGATTGTTGAAAGTATTACTCCCCTTTTTCTCCCATTGACCCTCTCTTCCCCACTCTACCCCCTCCTGCCTTTCCCACACTATTGTTTGTGTCCATTGGTTATACATAAATGCATATAAATTCTTTGTTTTATCTCTTCCCTCCCCCCGCCTTCCCTCCGAGGTTTGTCAATCTGTTTCCTATTTCCATGTCACTGGATCTATTTTGATCATCAGCCAGTTTTGTTTATTATAGTCCATAAATAAGTGAGACCATGTGGTACTTGTCTTTCTCTGACTGGCTTATTTCACTTAGTATGATACTCTCCAGGTCCCTCCATGTCATCTCAAAGGATAAGAGATCTTTCTTTCTTACAGCTGTGTAGTATTTCATTGTGTACATGTACCACAGCTTTTTTATCCATGCATCTACTGATGGACACTTGGGCTGTTTCCAGATTTTGGCAGTTGTAAATAGTGCTGCTATGAACATAGGAGTACATCTGATTAGTGTTTCATGCTTCTTAGGATATATTCCTAGTAGTGGGATCACTGAGTCAAATGGTAGATCAATTTTTAACTTTTTGAGGAAACACCACAGTGTTTTTTACAGAGGCTGCACCAGTCTGCATTCCCACCAGCAGTGTACCAGAGTCCCCTTTTCTCCACACCCTTGCCAGCACTTGTTTACTTTTGACAGTTTTAACATAAAATGTTTTTGCATTGAGATAACTAGATATTCTGATAATTCTTGTACTGGGATATCCCTTTCCTTCCCTAGGTTTTGGAAGTCCTTATCAGTTATTTCTTTGAATAGGCTCCCTGTTCCCTCTTCTCTCTCCTGGGATACTCATCATCCTTATGTTCTTTCAAATGGTGTCAGATATTTCTTGTAGAGTTCTTTATTTTTTATATCATAGTTCTCGCTCTTCCTCCACCTGAATCTTTTCTAGATTTCTGTCTTTGATCTCACTACCTCTCTTCCATAGAGTCTGCTCCATTTCCAGTGCACTCTGATCATTCTGTCTCATTTTTTGAGTTTTTAAGCTGCAGAATTTGTTTGGTTCTTTTTTATATTTTCAGTCTCTTTGGTAAGTACTCCTTTTGCTCATTAATTTTTATTTCTGAGCTCATTGAGCTTCCTTTCTGAGTTTCTTGCACCTCATTGAGTTTCTCCATGGCAGCAACCTGGAATTCTCTGTCATCTACAGCACAGTCTTCCGTGGCTTTGAGTTGGGTTGGGAGACGTGTCCTATTTCTCTGTGTTGCTGCCTTTGTTGTCCCTGGTTGTCTGGTGGTCCGTGGGCTGTTCCTCTGCTGGTGCCAGTGAAGTCTGAGCCGCTCCTGCAGGTGTGAGTCTGAGGATTGAGCAGCTTGACGATTGCGGCATGGTTCTCCAGTAGATGGTGCTGTCGTGCAAGTTGTGGTTTTCTCTTCTGGGCTAAGTAGACAAACCTCAGGGTTGGGGAGGGTCACTGTGGCCATAAAAATGACCACCTGGGTGACCAGGTTGGTGGGTGCCCTTGCTGTATCCTGATTGCTTCTGTCTTGGGTGCTACCACTGTGGTAGGGGGATGTGGTGGTGGGGGATAGCTGGGTTCACAAGCCTGCTGCATTGCTCCCTTGTTCCTTATGGCCACTGACATCACGAACTGAGTCCAGGAGGCCTCAGGTGTATCTCCACTGCTGTGAGGGGGAGACAGCCGGATTCTTGAGCAACAAGGCTGCTTCTGCCCCTCTTAGCCTCTGCTAGACCATAGTGTGGAGGCCGCTGCAGCATTAGCTGGGGCCACGGTGGCCACTGAACTGCGTCTGCAGAGATCATCCTTGTTCTTCTCTGTCCCACCCGCCCTGTGCATTCCAATGTGCCCACCTGCAGAGGTTCTGATGCGTGAATCTCTCGGGTGCATTTGTGAGTGGAGCAGAGGAGCCTTGGTTGGAGGACAGGTGTCCGACTTACACATTTAAGGGGAGTTGCATAGGGTCTTCTTACTCCATCATGATGCCGATGTCGACTTAAATGATCAGTTGTATGTTTTGCTTTGTAGAAGTGTTCTTCAAAGTCTGTTTGTCTTAGTTTCCAAAAACATTATCATTGTTTGTAGGACTATGAAGATGACTTTGAGGTCTGTGATGGAGATGATGATAATAGCACTAATGAACCGGAGTCCAGAGAGAAAACTGAAGAACTTTCTCCAGCCAGGAAAAAGGAGATACAAGAAATTCAAAATGCCATTAATGCAGAAAATGAGAGGATTGGCAAGTTGTCTTCGAAGCTGTTTCAGAAGCAAGGCCGAATGGAGCATGAGAAGGACCCAGGGACAGGTGCGTGTGAAAGCCATGTTTGCGCTCACAGGAGACTGGGCCCCAGTCCCTCCTGCTGCAACCAGGCGGCAGGCACGCTGGCACCTCACGCCCTGCTGGGCTCTGGGAGACATCACTACCTGGTGTGCTGAGGATCATCCCCAGAGGGAGCGCAGGTCGCCTCTGTGCCCTAGCCTGTGATGGGGGGGCGGGGGGGGGGGCTGTGCCCTGGCCTGCAGCGGGAGGGGGCATAGGGTGGCTGTGGGCACTGTCGGTGCAGGGGCGCTCGCGGGCCACACCTGCTTGTCTCCCCTCTGCTGTCCGCCTGCCAGCTACAGCACATGCTCTTGTTTGTTCGTTCTTTCTCTCTCTCTCTCTCTCTCTCGTTCTTTTGATACCACTGTTCCTGAGTTTCCGGAAAGGCCTCTCAGAAGCATCAGCAGAACCCAGGGCCATCATGGTGGGGAAGATGCAGGAACATGGCCCACCAGTCATGTTTCAAGGGGTTGTCTTTATGAAAATAGAGATGTTTGGCTCAAATTTTTGGCATCTTGTTAGAATAGGAGAGGATGTTTTTAAATCACTTAAAGGGAAAAACTATGACATTTTGATTTTAAAAATTAGCTCTAAAATAGCACAGAAGGTCAACTAGGACAATATTAAAATTATTATTGGATAATATGCTACTTTAAATTGTCTATGAAATAAGTCGTAAGGAATACAGTTAAGTATGTCTAGTACTTTATACGCTGTGATAATCTAGTGAAGGTCAGGCAGAACGGCTATGACTGTCATATTTGTGCCTTTTGTAGAGGGAGAAAAACTGAGCTGGAGTGTGCCCATTTAGACAACAGTCTCTAAATGTATAGCCAGGAGTAGCTGTCCTGGTGGCGGTGGTGTCCAGCAGGGTCCCCTTCGTGACCTATCACTGTGGAGCAGCAGGTACTAGAGTGGGGGCAAGGGGGTGTGAGACGGCCTTCACTGCCTGCCTGCCGTGCCATGGCTGAGAAGTTGCAAGATCTCATCCTCAAGTTAATGGTTTTCTGAACAGATCTACATTGTTCTGGGTATTGTGGCCTTGGTTAGCTTGATCTATAAAAATTGAGAACCCACTTTAAGGCATTATTTTTTGTTATATTTTTTATTTGAAAGAAGCACTCACTCTGATCACACTGCTCTCCAGACCAAGTTGGAGCTGCCTTCCAGGCTCCACTTAACGCTGAGTGGGCCTGACCGAGCAGAGCCTGGTCCTCCTGCTGCAGGAGCAGCAGCATGGCCTCGGTAGCACCGACTCTGCCATTTTCTGGCTGTGTGACCATGGGCAGGCACTGAGCCTCTCTGTGCTTCAATTTCCTTTCTGTAAAACAAGGGCAAGGCATTCTTTACGGCTGTGAGGATTAATTAATAAGCTAATACATATAAAGTGCTTAAAAGAGTATCAGGCACGTCTCAGCACAGTTACTGTCAGTGGCATTGCTGTTCCGTTACTGGGGCTGCGAGCATTTGTCTGTGTCTGCTGTCCAGCCCCAGCTGCCACAGCACCATTTTCACGCAGTGCCCGCTGCACCCTGTGCTGACTGTCCATGTGCTCATAGACTGCACACCTGACCCTTTTTCAGGGCCATAGGAAACCATTTGATAAATTACTGTCCAGGGCACTGAGGTATTTGAAGGAGTCTGCACACCTCCAAAGGTAAGCTGTTTACTTGGTTGGCGAGCAAGTATTTCCTGAGTGTTGGCATTTACGTTTGCAAGCTGAGCGAGGGGCATCTTTATTCCAGTCTTCATCTGAGTCTTAGTCCTGTGACTTTAAACGTAGTCCCCTCCTTTTTTAAAAAAAGTTTTTCTTGCTCTGGCTGATTAGGTTCAGCGGTTAGAGTGTCAGCCCGCAGACCGGGGAGTCCCGGGTTCGGTTCTCGCTAAGGGCACGTACCTCAGTTGCAGTTTGTCCCTGGCCCCGGTTGGGGTCATGTGGGTGGCAACCATTTAATGTGTCTCTCTCACGTCGATGTTTCTCTCTCTCCCTCCTGCTCTATCTGAAGATAAATGCACAAATGTCCTTGGGTGAGGATTAAAAAAAATTAAAAAACAATTTTTTTTTTTATTGATTTAAAGAGAGAGGAAGGGAGAGGGAGGAAACTTCAATGAGCGAGAACATCGACTGGCTGCCTCCCGCATGCCCCACACGGGGAACGGGCCCACAACCTGGGCATGTGCCCTGACTAGGAATTGAACCAGCCACTCTTGGTACAGGGGTCGACGCTCAACCACTGAGCCACACTGGCCAGGCTCAGTCCCTTCCTTTTTGAGGCTGGGATAATATTGAATAGCTGTCTTGTAGTGACCATGTGGTGCACACAGCTGAGAGCTCCCCTCATCGCCACGGCCTGCTCCCCTCCTTGTGCCAGTGCTGCCCTGTGGTCCATTTGCTGACATGTGAGAAGTGGACATGAGCAACCTGCTCACAGTCACATAGCAGGTGGTGACTGAGCTGCCAGCTTGGGTCCCACGCCTTAGCTGTCCACTGGCCTTGGGTTTGATAAAACGGCAAGAGGTCATGAGAAAGAAGTGAAATAAACGTAAATAAACGTGTGAGGGGAATCCATACAGGAAACCCTAGAAATCCTTGGAGGGCAGAGGCAAATGAGGCTCTTCCTGTGCACAGGAGGGCAGTGGGCAGAGCCGTCCACCATGACTGGAGCCATTGAGCCCCTGCAGTCACTAGTTTGTCTGAGCACTGACACCTGCACCTGTGGAGGAGCAGCAGTGACTTGCGTCTGTCTCCGTGTCTCAGCTGTTTGTGTCTGCATGTCCAGCTCCCTCACTGGAGCTTTCACTTTGGGGAACGGGGAGAGAGGTGGGAGTGTAGGGCAGCACCGCACAGGGACTCAATCTCTCCGAGTGACAGGTGCATGCACAACAAATTCTGCTCTGCTGCCTGAGAGCTGTGAATGGAAATGGCAGAGGCCTCTTAAATGCTTGAGGACGATGTTTATCATTGTTATTGTCCATCGTGGACTGGAATTATTAAATATGCTTCTAGCCCTGGCTAGTTTGCTCAACGGTTGGAGTGTTGGCCCGCGGACCAGAGAGACCCAGATTTGGTTCCCGCTAAGGGCATGTACTTTGGTTGCAGTTTGTCCCCAGTTGGGGTCATGTGGGTGGCAGCCACTCGATGTGTCTCTCTCACATCGATGTTTCTCTCTCTCTCCTCCTCCCTCTCTTCCTCCTGCTCTATCTGAAGATAAGTACAAAAATGTCTTCGGATGAGGATAAAAAAATAAAATATGCTTCAGTTGTTTTACTCGCAACTGTTTTTGCTTGAAATATTTCACAAAAATAGTTACTGGGTTTTTTTTCTCTTTCTATACAGATGCAACCAATTCACCTTCCAGAGCCCATGTTTGTGGAATTTTTGTGGATTTTGCAACTGCCTCTCACCGTCAAAAGAATCGGACGCTGACCCTCAAGCAAAAGTAGGTATGCCGGGAAACAGGCAGGAGGGATCGTGGGGTGTCTGTGTACCCCTCTCCAGCAGGCTTTGCAGCGTGGGGCTTTTCGTTTTGTCTCATTGCTGACTGCAGCCTTTGGTTGGCACCGCATCGCTCTGCGTCCGCTGTCACGGGAGAGCAGGTGTGTGCCGCATGCAGATGCTTGGTACCGGTGCCACCAGATTCTTGACTTATCTGGTAGGCTCCTGTGATGGCTGCGACAGAATCCGCTCACGCCCTCGCGGAGCTGGCCGTGGGAAACCACACCGGCAGCAAGTGAACCGGGCCCTCCGGCCTCAGCGCCACTCCTGCCTGAGACACAGGGAAGGCCACATGGTGCTGGGGTGGCCGCGTGCTCCCCACTGGGTGCAGCCGAGGAGGTTGCGGGGTATAGTGCCCCAGTGCTGTGACCCACGTGTGAGCTATTTCATTGGGTCCTCGCGGCCCACCTTATGGATGGAAGAGGCTGAAGGCCACCTCTGGCGTAGCTGAGTTCTGAGTCCAGGACTCCCAGATGTCCAAGTCTAATCCAGGCTCCTAATGACTAAGCCTGGAGAGTTGTAAGATGTATATATTTAGGAAACTCAGAGTATGTATGTAGTCTCAAGTCAAAGTCCCACGGCATTAAACTGACGTATGATGTAGGAGTAAGTGTAAAAATTAAATCTGTTTTAAGTGGGTTTAAAATCCTTTCTGTCATCCAGCTCAGTGCCTGGCCTTAGTCAGTGCTTAGTACATTTTGCTAAATGGGCAGATAAATCATCAATCATAAAATTAATAAGTTTCCACCACATTTTTGTTGTCCTTAATTTTGGGCCTCTTATCAAGGTAATGAGACCAATTTCTACCTTTATGGCTGGGTTTTCTTTTGTTTATTTGTTTTTTTACTCAGTTCAAGTCTTGGAAACTAAATTTAGTTTAACACAATTTTTACAAACTCAAACAATCAGGATGATGGTGTGTTGTTTAGGCATATATAAATACGAGATAAGCCCTGGCCGGTTTGGCTCAGCGGTTGGAGCGTCGACCTGCGGTCCAGAGAGACCCCGGTTTGGTTCCCACTAAGGGCACGTATCTTGGTTGCAGTTTGTCCCCGGCCCTGGTTGATTGTGTGGGTGGCAGCCACTCGATGTTTCACGTCAATGTTTCTCTCTCTTTCTCTTCCTCTCTCTCCTTCTCACTTTATCTGAACAAAAAATGGAAAAATGTCCTCGGGTGAGAGAAAAAAAAAAGATAAAATTGTATCTAAAAGGCAGAAAAACGACAGCCACCACATTCCATGCAGCGATCACTGTGGGCTCAGGCCATCAGAACTTGGTTCTGTGTTGGGCCTTCGGTCCTAGGATGTCAATTGTGTTGTGATATATAATGTGTAAGCATATCACATGGATTATTTTGGATCAGAAATTAAAGACCTAGAAAAATTTTAAAAACCAACGGCTGAAATGCAAATGGGTTGATGATAATAATTTTAAAATTGAGGAAAATATAGGGATATGTATAGGTATATGGACGGGTTCTGGTTTTGTGTCTGTGTTGTGAGGAAATAAAGGAACAGAGGAGAAAAATATAAACCACAGAGCACTGATACCAGATGTAAATTCAGTCTGACCCAAGGGAAAAAGAGCGAAAGCCAGATACGAAACTTCAGGAGCAAGGATGAAAAGGTCGTCACAGACATCCACATGGAAGTGGTGGGCTCATGTCGGGTGCCGTGTGGCTGAGGACTTGGAGATGACAGACTGGAGTTGTAAGGTGGAGGACGGGTGTTGGCCAGAGAGGAAGGTCATGGGCAGGTGGCAGCTCTGGGTGAGGCCCCGAGGGAGTGGGGAGGGCCCCTGTCCATAGAGCACCAGTGGTGTGGAAGTAGAGCTGTGTTGCAGTGAGCTGACCTGAGCCTCGGCACACCAGCCCTGGGGCACCTAGAAGAAAAGGGTCCAGCTCGGGTGCCTGGACAGGAGTCTGCGAGCAGAGGAAACCAAGTGTGCGTGGGGTCGGGGAGCTTGTGAGGAGGATTTGTTTGTCGGATGCACTGTCAAGTCCTGTGAGTCTCTGGTCTGCGCCTCAGGGCAGTGGGTGGCATGCACCTCAGGCCACAGCACAGGCGACATCCCAGAACGGGAAGCTGACCCAGGCACATCAGGTCGTGAAGTGCAAGTCTAGGAACTTATTCCCTGAGGTGTCGTGTTGACTCGGGAGCCCTGAGTCAGAGCAGCTGGAGATGTGCTTCCTGGTGTTCCCTCAGCACCGGTCCACCTAGGCCGCTGATTACCTGGGACAGACTGGTGAGGGCGGTCCTGACCCAGCTCCATTCGCCCCGAAGCGCTGCGCACTCTCCCACGCTCCCCTGCTCATCACTCAGTTTAACTTTTGTCTCATCTCCAATTTATTTTCAAGGACGCGCAGCACCAAGCTGCTTCGGCTTATAGACCTGGACTTTTCACTCACATTCTCACTCCTGGATCTGCCACCAGTGAATGAATATGACATGTACATCAGAAACTTCGGGAAGAAAAATACCAAGCAGGTTAGTGCAAGAGGTATTGACCAAGTGACAAAAAGGGAGTAAAGCGCAAGGAAGGTTTGTGCTGTCCTGTGTCTTGTTCTGGACTGTGAGGGCTTGGGAATGTGCACAGGACATGGACGTGAGGGAGAGGGCCCTCGTCACACCATCTCGTGAGCCTGGACAGTATGTGCAGGTGTCCACAGAGGCCCACGCACAGCAGGCTGCTCCCACACTCTGACTGCAGTGGCGTGGCGACAGAGGTCACCTGGATCCCTAGCTTGGGGTCCCAGTGAGGATGTGACTGTCACCATGCAGAGTCTAAAGTGCAGGGCACTGAGTGATTCCAAAGCTCACTGGTATGATTCACCCTCGTCCCATCATTTCTGTTCTATTGCACCTCTCCCTGTGTGTCTAGCCCTGTCACCTACCTGTGGATTTTCTGTCCCCGTGCCCGGCCCCCGCCACCTACCTGTGCATTCCCTGTTCCCGTGCCCGGCCCCCGCCACCTACCTGTGCATTCCCTGTTCCTGTGCCCGGCCCCCGCCACCTACCTGTGCATTCCCTGTCCCTGTGCCCGGCCCCCGCCACCTACCTGTGCATTCCCTGTCCCCGTGCCCAGCCCCCGCCATCTACCTGTGCATATTCTGTGCCCAGGGCCTGTCTTGAGGTGAATCCTTCCCTCATGACTTACACTGAATTCTCTTATTTCAGAGTTGCTACAGCCCATCCCTCACAGTTTTGGACTCCCCTGCAGTGCTTCTAGTCATTAATTTTGTGATAGGTCAACTTCTCGAAGTGGGAAGCCAGGGGTCATCTCTCACATTTTCGTGTATCCCCGTTATTGCCATTAGACACATGCTCGTGGGTCCATTTGGTCCGTAACAGTCTTTCAGCAGGATGGAGGTCACAGGATAGACCCAGAGAATCTGCTGGGTTCACCCTGCGGACTCACTCTCACCTCGAGTGGTCTGCCTCACTCCTCTTCTCGTTCTCCTCACCTCAAGGTGTCAGTGACAGAACCTTTTCACTGAAGCATGCACGTCTTTGAAATCAAAGATTGCCTTTGGTTTTGCAAAGTCAGTATGTTCTTTAAAAAAAGCTGTTGGTGGGCCACCTGGTAGTTTTTTAAAACCAAGCTGCAGTGTTTGATGTGACTTTTCAAAGCACACTTAGAAGGCCAGGCCTGTCACATCGAGCAGACGTCGAAGACACAGCAGTCTTTGCTTGACGGTCGTTCATGCCGTGACCCTTGTTTGACAAAAGCAAGAAGACGACCATTAATCACTTTAAAAATTTTAATTTTTCTCTTTAGTAAGAGACATTGCTTTGAAGTTGAGACCCAGTGTAACTCCAGCACCTTTGTTTTTAAGGCATATGTTCAGTGTAATGACGACGATGTGGAACGAGACATTCAGACGGAGGAGATAGAGACCAGGGATGTCTGGACCCAGCACCCAGGGGAAGGCCCGGCAGTTTCTGGAGGTAAATAGCTCTGTGCTCCTGACCCCCGAGAGCCAGGTTTCTTTACGTTATTTTTGGTGTTGTGTTCATTTCATGTATTGTTCTTTCTTCTTCTTTCTTTTGGGAGTGAGTGTTAGTACCTGACCGTAGAAATACCAAGCATTCTCTGTAGAGCAAACCAGGCTTGTGAACCACTGGTCTGAGCACTGAGCTTGGGGCCATTCTGGGCCCGGACCGGGGTTCATCTCCCTGACACTGGGACTGGGGTTTGTTGTCCTGATGCTGGGACCGGGGTTCATCACTCTGACGTTGGGACCAGGGTTTATCGCCCTGACACTGGGACCGGGGTTCGTCTCTCTGACTCCTTGACAGCGGAAAGAGTCCGTGTCCCACACACAGCTTCACAATGGCTTCCGAACACTCTTTGCCTTTAACTGAGGCATAGTCTATTCTCATTAATAGCGATTTTCATACACGAAGTGCAGTTGCCAGATACGCTGCATCCGTGCGGACAGCAGGTCCCAGACAACGTCTGTGAGCACGGGCTCTCTCCAGCCGCGTGCATGTCGATGTCTCATGCACGTCGCAGCTGACGCTGAGGAATGTCTGTGTTGCTCTCCGTGGAGGAGCCTCACCGTGAGAAATCACAGAGACAAGCACGTACAAGACAGCTGGTGCCTTAAACTGCAGGGGCAGAGTAGGCTCACAGTTGCGAGTGTGCAGAACAGAGTTTATTCTCGGATTGTTGACTAACTTGTAGCATTTGTATCATGACTGTAAACCTACTTTTGCCTTCATGTCTTTAAGTGGGATTCTTGTCACAGACTTTATACAAAACAAGATGTATTGGTGTGGGTGACATGGGTTCACGAGATGACAGGAATTTCACGTGCGCAGAGCGAGGGTGCGCACACCTGGGTGCTTGCTGCCCCCACCTGCTGCTGCCGGGACGCCATTGCTCTGAGGAAACGGAGATCCAGAGATGAATGCGGGAGCTTGGGTGTGGGGTGAGCGGCTGTTCAGAGCCCACCTGTTGGCTCTTTGTGACTTTCCCAGGGAGCAAGAGCAGAGACTCCTGTGATGCTGCGGTTGTACCCAAGGTGGACACCCCGAGACTGTCCAGCTTCCTCCGGGCGGCCTGCCAGGTAGGCGCTGCGCTGTTCTTAGTTCTTGCAGTTGGTGATGTTCTAAAGGAAGCAGACTGGGGACACAGGAGAGGCTGGCAGGGCACACACACGTCTGGGCATTGCGAGCTAAATTCATGGCTTTAAACTGGCCACGGGAATTTCAGACAGCACGCGGAGATAAGGGGACAGACTTCGTGTGCTTCCGCAGTTATCAGGTCCTGGCCAACTGTCTCAGTTGAACCCCCACCAGCCCACCACCCACCCCTCAGTCACGTGAAATAAGTGGCAGTCCTCGTGCCGTCCCCGTGAATATTCCGGGCGAATCTCTGGATAGCGCCCAGTGGACTGGGTGTTTGTGATCCCACAGGGCTCTCGGTTTGTGTAAAACAGCTGACATGTGGGTCAGTCTGGACAGGCCGCCCTGTGCTTCTCCCCTGCCACGGTGAAACCCCCCGTTCACACCCTTTCAGTGAATTACTTCTCCATGTAAGCTCCAGGGGGCGAAGGGGCAGCTCACAGGTGCAGGGGAGGGTCAGGCAGACGCCGGGATGAAAGGTGGGGAGGACAGGGCCTGACCCCACTGGTCCATCAGTGCTGCAGGGCGTTGCCTGGGTCCAGTGTCCTCAGCCGTCCTGCCGAGCGGGACCCTGTCCGAGCAGGGACTGGTCCGCTGCTCTTCCTGGGTTGTCAGCAGCACAGTAAGAACAGCAGCGGTAGCCTATGCTCGGCATTTGTCTACACCCCATGTTTTGTCAAGAAAAGGCTGGATGGTCAGCTGGTTTCCTCCTGTTACTGTAGCAGAGACTTTAGCATAAAAAATGGCCTGTGGCCCTGGCTGGTTTGGCTCAGCGGTTAGAGCGTTGACCTGTGGTCCAGAGAGACGCGGGTTCGGTTCCCGCTAGGGGTGTGTACCTCGGTTGCAGTTTGTCCCTGGCCCTGGTTGGTTGTGCGGGTGGCAGCCACTCGATGTGTCCCTTTCACATTGATGTTTCTCTCCCCCCCGCCACTAAAAAAAAAAAAAAATGGCATGTGCCATTCAATGCTGGCTCTCCTGAAGAGCTTGTTGTAAAAGAGTGTCACTGTCCGTTTCTGCTGCTATGGCAGGACAGTGTGACTCCATTCCATCGCTGCCGTGGTGGCTTGGAGTTACCAGCTTTTCAAGACATGGATGAAGTGGCTGGGTAATGATTTGGGTCTGTTTTCCTGTGGAGTGTTGATCACGAGCTGCTCACTGTCTTTGAAAGGTGGTGGCGGTTCTGCTGGAAGAGGATCGCGTGGCAGCTGCACCCAGCTGGGACCCCGGGGCGCAGGACAGCACCCTGCCCCTCAGCGACAGCTCCTCTCAGCTGAACACCAGCCTGCCCTTCCTTCAGCGTAAGAGCCGTCCTGCATGTGCTCAGTGTGATACCAAATGTGACCTGAGGTCGTGTTCTCTGCTTCTGCCCCACGTGACGTGAGGTTCAGCCTGTGCAGAGTCTGATGGCCGCTCAGCTCCTTGAGTGTGCATGTTGGGGTGTCGGGGTGCCCCTGGGAGGACTGGGGGGCTGCCATGTGCAATGAGGTGGTGCATGTTTGCTCTGACCCACTCCCTTCGCAGGCCAGTTCCACAGGGGGCAGGTGGGTGCCGAGAGGAGCTGAGCTGTGGACTTGGCTCAGTCTGAGCAGCTCAGCATTGCCCTTAGGTCTTCTGCTTGGACCCAGAGTTAGCCTGTGCCCTCAGGACATAGAGTGCCACGTTGTCAGACACGAAGCTGGTCACATGTAATCTTCAGATAGGTTCAGACAGCCAGTGCTTGCATGGCCCAACCCAGTCTCGGGATGGTCGCCACTCTGCTTTAAAAGGGTGGCTCCAGCCCTGGTCGGTTTGGCTCAGCGGTTAGAGCGTCAACCCATGGACCAAAGAGTCTCAGGTTCAGTTCCAGTCAAGGGCGTTACCTCGGTTGCAGTTCGGTCCCCAGCCCTGGTCGGGGTTGTGCAGGAGGCAACCACTTGATGCATCTCTTTCATGTTCAGGTTTCTCTCTCTCTCTCCTTCCCTCCCTCTCCCCCTCCTCCTCCCACTCTGTCTGAAGATAAATGGAAAAATAGCCTCAGGTGAGGATTTAAAAATAAATTAAAAAATAAAAATGGTGGCTGTGAGGTCCTGGCTTGTGAAGGAGGGGCCGCGGTGAGGCCGTCCTGGAGGTTTCGTCTGTCCAGCTCTGGACATTTAACATGAACTAAAATGGCATTGTTAGTTTAAAAAGGCTTGCGTTTCTTTGGAGTGTTTTTATCTTTGAAAGACAAGAGTTATCCTCTTAGGAGAAGAGTGAATCACTCGTCTGTAGACTCCGAAGCACCACACCCACCTCTTCTCCCAGCTGCCCAGTGACAGAGCCTGGCAGGCCTGCAGGTGCTGGAACAGGGGACACAGGCTCCACAAGACCCTCGCAAGGGGCCAGTCACGTCCTCACAGGACTGGCCTCTGGGACGTGTGAGGTCCGCAGGGGAATGGGAGAGTTTCCTTGTTTACATTTGTGTTTGGGTAAAATTAACTCTGAGGTGACAGAAGGCAGTGAGATCGGATGATGGGTCTGATGGAGCCATGCGTCTTGCCTGTGAATGAGGCCTTGGCAGGAGTGAGGCTCCTGCCACATGCTCACGCCCACGCAGAGGGCCGAGTAGGCCCGCCCCTGATCTGGCAGACAGCGCGTGTCCCCGCTGTCCCAGGCGGTGTTGGGGTTCAGCAGTGGACAGACAAATCCTTGTGTCACACAGACTGGACGTGCCAAACGAGGGCAGTGTGCCCTAGACTGAATAGGGCAAGTTCTCAGGAGCAAAACAAAGTGGGCAGGGTCCTTGGTGGAGAAGCTTCGTGGCGTGAAAACCTCAGGAAACTGAAGGGCTCCAGACTGTGTTGTACCGAGTTTGAAGGATCACTTTTTAGCAAAACCATGAGACAATTTGGACAGTTTTCTGGTCAGGCTAAGGCCATTTGTGAGTCCAGACTTTAGGTGCGTGGCTCTTCGAAAGCACCAGGTCTATTTCTTCATTAAGCTGAAATTTCTTTACATATTTTTAAGTGTTTTAAAAATATTACATATTTTTAAGTGTTTTAACGTGGGTTCTGGCAGATCACTAAAATGCAGGAAGATTTTTCTAATTTTATTCCCAGATCGGAGAGTGTCCTGCTTGCACGCCTCTCAGGCCCAGAGGGAGACGGTGGTGTCTGTTCATGGTCTGCCTGGAAAGGCCGCTGTGCCCCCGCTGGACAGCAGATGCCTGCTCTGTGTGTGGGACATCCGCCAGCCCTCCGGACCTCAGAAGGTCCTGGTCTGTGAGTCACAGGTACACCTCAGGAGAGCCGTGCGCTACAGGAGGAAGGGAGGCGGTGTGGGGCGCGATGTGGGGCGTGAGGACCAGGGGGTGGAACCTAGAAGCTCCTTTCTCTCTCCTCCCAGCTCCCCTCAGCTCTCTGTGCGACTGTGACAGGACACACAAACTTGTCTGTTTTGACTCTAGAATAATTATTCGTTCAAAGGACCGACTCACACTGTGAAGCCTGGTTCGCACAGCCTCTTAGGTCCCCTGGGAGCTGGGTGTCAGCTGGCTCCCCACTGCGTGGGTACACTGGCCGCTGGGCGGGGCTCTGGGCCCAGAAGTGTGCTTGTTGCCTGCACTTTTTGGGTCCCAGACAAGCTAGAGGTTTCTTAGTTGCTTGGGATTTAAGCTCGTAGTCCCATGTGTTTCCTGGCCCCTGGTTCACAGGCCGTGGTCTGGTGACCATGCCAGTCACCCTATGTATATGCTCCTTGACCTCAAATGATTGATTTCCACCCAAACTGTAGAACACGATTTCCTTTACAGGTGTCTGTTTTCAGAGCTTGAAAATAAGTTTTGGCGATCCAGGTTATAAATAGAGAGACAGGGTGGCTTTGCTGATGGGCCGAATGGAGGTTGTGGTCCACACTGTGTGCCCGGCTCTGTGTTAGTCGCCAGCTGCGGGGCCAGCCCATCGCCCCGCTTTCCTCCCGAGAGAGCTGACAGACGAGGCCCGCTCAGTGTGTCCTCAGCTTCTGGTGGGAGTGTCGGGTACCGTGGGAACAGCTTTCTGCGTGTCTCTAGGCCACGTGCTGCTGCTTGAGCCCCTTCAAGGCCTTCCTGCTGTTCGCTGGCACTGTGCACGGCTCGGTCGTCGTGTGGGACCTAAGAGAAGACTCACGGATACATCGCTACGTGACACTGAGCGACTGCTTTTGGACGTTCAGGACAGCGACGTTTTCCACTGGTCAGTGAGATCCACCTGCCCGTCGGGCGTCTTTAGACAAGCGTCGCAGATTTGAGGAATATCTGAAATTTTTTGGCATTTATTGTTCAGGGTGCCCCAGATGATGGGGTCCGGCCTATGAGCAAAAGAGGTGCCTGGGAAATAGAAAAACAAAAATACATCCAGGTTACACTTAGCCAGTAGCTAGCAGATTGCAGTGTCCTTTCTTGTTAAATTTGTGGATCCCAAATCCTCTGTGGAATGATGTTTACTTTTAAATTAGCTTAAGGTGTGTCCGTATATGTGCTCCCGGCTCAGCTAACTCCACCCAAGCAAGCAAGAGAGACCAGAAAAACTGGACTGTCAGGGCCCTGATTGGACCATGAATGCTTCATGCCAGGCAGTTGTAGCCGCGACCACAACCACAGGCATAGGCATGACCAACCACAAGCAGACAACCACAACCAAACAGCCACAATCAACCGCCACAGCCACACCCAATTACAACCAGACAGCAACAACCAACCATCCACAGACACAACCAGACACAACCACAACCAAACCAAATCACAACCAGCAGCCACACCCCCACCACTTGTAGGTGCTCATATTCTGGGGCTTTTGTCAGTGCTTCCTAGACATCGTTTGTTCAGTGCCCATCTCGCCCTCCAACCCTGCTGCTCAGGGACATGATGGGCTTGTCCAGTCACACTGACCTCCCCCAGTGGTCTTCATCCCGTCTTTCTCTCTCCCCACCAACAGCTGGTTCTGTGTCTTCCCATTCCCACCACCCCTGGTTGGTTTTCTGTTTCTGTGTCTCACTTTTTCTGTCAGGTACAGGGACTCATAGGGACCCAGACCGTCAAGTCTGCCCTCCTCCCTCGTGTAGCCATCTGTGGCTCACCTGCGCTCTGGCACGTTCACAGTTCGCTCCTCTCTGTGGAGCGGTCTTTCCGTTCAGAAGACACCCAAGGGGCTTAGTTCCTGCTGCTGGGCTGTGGGCTGTGTCCACGTGCTGCACCGTCTGTGTTCCCCGCGAGGCGCTCTGGGTGTCTGCACAGGGTCACATCGGCATTGTAGCTGTTCTGACGGGCGTGTGGTGGTATCACGTGTGGTTCTCATCCGTGGTTCCCTGGTGACAGGTGTGGTGCGTGCACCCCTGGTGCTTGTTTGCTTTCTGTGTGTCTTCTGGGTGGCTTGTCTGTTCAGGCCTTCTGTGTGTTTTTAAGTGGATTCATCGCTTTCTTGTTGAGCTTGAGGGTTCTCGGTGCGGTTTGGCAGCAGCCTTCAGATGTGTCTACAAGTGCGTCCTCTCACCCGGGCGCGCCCTGTCACTCTCTCGGCCTTCCTTTCCTGGCCAGCATCCAGGAGTGTCCCTACCTCCCATACGTGTGTGGCGTAGCTGCATGTCTGTGTGCACGTGTTTTATCCATAGAAGAGCCAGTGGTTTTTTTGCCTCCCAGCAACCAGTCTTTGCCCTGTTTGGGATGATATTGCCATGAGTTAGAATGTGAGTCCATGGGAACCTCATGGGTTTGATGCTGCTGGAAAACATACCTTTTCCAGTGTGCTGCCCGTGCTCCTGAGGAGCCTTTGGCTCACCACCACGCCGTCCCTCAGACCTGCCAGGTGTCCGTGGGCTCCCAGGAGTGAGGGAACCACGGGGCTTCAGGCGCAGCTGACCCCACCCCGAGCACCGCCTCCGCCGGGCCCATAGCGCCAAAGCCGCGTGCACTTCATTCCTGAGCAGGTTCCCTCTCCTCCCTGTGTCTTTCCTGAGTTCAACCCCAACTCTCACTTTATTTCTTGCTGGGTTTTTTCCCCCCTAATTTCTGTTCTGAGTCTGATTCCAGGCGTCTCGCTGTGTTTGCTTCGCGTGCACTCAGTGCTCTTCGCGGAGGAGAGGCGCAGGATGGCAGCGGAGCTCGTTTCCGCTCGCGCCTGTGTTTAGGGGAGAATGTTGAGGCTGAAGTGTGTGGTCTGCATTTCGACAGGAGCTGCTGAGCCTTGTCTGGTTGCTTCTACAGCCCTTGGCCCTGCATGTCTTTGCAGCCCCGTCATCGTGTGGCTGCCAAGACGCCCCAGGGACCTGCCCTGGGAGTTAGATGGTCCCTGCAGTCTCGGAGTCCTCCCGCCCTCCCACCGCAGGTGGTTTGGGGTCTGTGGTCTCCGCTTGGCGGTGATGCTGAGAGCGATGGGCACACGGTCCACACTGGGGAGCGTGTCCCCCAGAAGCACCATGGTCATTCCTACGGAACAGCGCTGTGTTTCTGTGGCTACTGCTCACCGTGCGGCTGTGCCTTCCCCAGATGGCGTCCTCACCTCCGTGAGCCACCGCAGCCCTCTGAGAGCCGTGGAGCCTGTCTCTGCGTCCGGCTGCAAGAAGCAGAGCTCTGTCCTCTCACCCTTTTCCACTCAGGAAGGTGCGTGGCCTTCATGCCGTGAACCCTGAACTCAGGCTGCGAGACGTGTGCTCTGTCTCACCAGCGTTCTTCTCTCTCTTCCTGTTTTTGTTAGAAATGTCGGGCTTGTCATTCCACATTGCCTCCTTGGACGAGAGTGGGGTTCTGAACGTGTGGGTGAGTGGGACACGTGGCTGCAGCGCCCCCTGCAGTCGTGGGCTCCGGGAGTGGCACGCATGGCCGTGCGGCAGGGACAGTGCGGCAGGGTGTGTGACAGCACGTCGGGGTGGCGTGGGTGTCCCAGAGCATGCAGGTCCTGTGGGACGGGCGGGAGTGGCCCAGACAGGGGTGCACGGGGCGAGGCGCAGGGCACAGATGCTCCGAGGCGCTGACCGCCGACCCCTCCCTGAAGACGGGGGAGGAGAGAGGCGCCGGCCGCCTGTGAGGGTTCCTTCAGAACTTGGAAATCATTCTGTGCTGGAGCAGCCTGATTCTGGCTCCGGAGCAGACTGCTGTCTTAACTAGACCACTGCTGTGCTCAGGCTGTCTCCCGACCGTACAGTGTGCTCATTCCACGCTCCATTTCCAGGTGGTTGTCGAGTTACCGAAAGCAGATGCTGCAGGCTCAGTAAGTGACTTAGGTAATTATTCAGTGAGAAAACCAACTTCCGTCAACGTTTGCTGAAACGAATAGATTAAAGGTACCATTAGCCACTTTGAGAAATAATAGTTAGAACGTCAAGGTTTGTATTTTCTGTTACCGGCCACTGAATGAATGAGCACCTCAGCTACGAGACTAGATGGTGTTCCGGCCGAGTGTCCTCTGAGGCCTCCTCAGCTCTGTTGTGTCTGTGTGTCACTGTGTCCCCTCGGCTGTGCTCCGGGGATGCCTGGGTGGTCCCAGCTCTGCTGCACGTGCATTTGACCAGTGGCTGGTCGGAGAGCCCACACTGAGTCCGAACCGGTCACTCCCTGATGAGTTCTCTGCGCAGCCTGGTCCCACCCCGGGTACCAGGAGACCAGGGTGCATGCACGGGGGGTGCCCTGCGTGGACATGGCCTCACGGGGTCGGCAGGCACACGCTCAGCAGTGCACTTCTGTGAGGGTGTAGGTGTGCTAGACACTGATGTTTCTCCTTGGTGTGCTGCCCTTATTTTATTTCATCAAATCTAAAATGTAAGGCTTTCTTGTCCTCGGTTCCACCAGCCCTTTCCCAGAGGTTCCGAATGGCAGATTCTTGTTCCTCACACTGAGCACTGAGGGTTTCAGCAGTTGCACCTGCACTGGGGGGCCCCCTGCCTTCTGATTTAGATGCACCCCCAGCACAGACGTCAGAGCAGTTACCCTGATTCCAGGCGCTGCAACTGGCCTTGGGCTGGGCTTGTGCTAAGAGGAGCGTTTGCTTCTCGTTTCCCCATTTCAGGGCTGATACCCGGAGGGAGGATAAAACTGGTGCACAGCTCTGTGACTCGGCTGAGTGACAGGTAAGTGCGCCCCAGGTGGAGGCGGCCCCCCCAGCCACGGAACCTGTGTCCCGCACACGGAGGTGACGTGGTGGTGGACAGTTGATCATACATGAGTTAGTGTGAAACCACGTCGCAGGTGGAGAGCCCATCACTTTTCTTTGGCTAAGATCATGTCCATCATATGACTGGTGCTACGGACTGTTTTTCATGCGGTTTAGTACAACCACGGAGTTGAGTAGAACCAGAAACACGGACATGGACGCTTAGTTGAGAAGTTAGATTTCCGCTGTTACTCTGTAACTTAACGTGACACAGACGTTCCTACTGAAGATGCAGATGTCTTCTGTGGTGTTTATGTTGCATGTTGACCTATGTTTGGAAGAAATCTTTTCTCCATTGACTGCTGTCAGGGTCACCAGACAGCACGGGGTTCACCCTTCAGGGGTGCCGATGTTGGCCTGAGCCCTGGTCACCAGGCAGCACACCCGTGGCCGCAGGGCCGCCCAGGCTCCAGAGTGTCAGTGCAGTGGGGGCATCGGTCAGGGTTAAGAACGTCCTCAATGTGTTAAGAGCCACCCACAGGTGACCCGGGGTTCGTGGCAGACTCTGTCCTTCGTGCACACAGGTGACCCTGGGCGAGTAGGGACCCCGGCTCCTGAGGGATGCAGACAGTGCAGGAGGAGGGGCTCGGTGGGAGGGCTCTTCCTGGCGGTCCCTGGGGACCCGTGCCTGCAAAGGGGGCAGGCACAGACATGGCCGTGAGGAGGACGTGGCTGCACAAGGCCCCCGAGCCCTGGGAGGTCCAGAGTGTCCTCGCCAGGCCTGTGCTGTCTCCCATCCGGCACTGAGCTCGGGAGTCAGGAGGGAAGCACCCTGGGTGGGGGTCTCCTCGTCCTCCCTGGTAAGGCACACGTGTGAATCGCTCTGTTAGGACATGTGACGGCGTGTAGGAGCGCAGAGGGGTGACAGGTGGGGGATGGAGTGCATATGACTTCTTGGGGAGGGGCTCAGACCAGGACCTAGGGCACAGAAACAGGTGGGAGCAGTGGGTGAGAGTCACAGGACGTGTGAAATGGCCATGACAGATGCCGCGTCGTCCTCACGCTCAGCCTGAGCACTCGGTCTGTCCTTCTCTGTGTTCCAGCCTGTCCCACAGCGGTGATGAGCACTGGGGAGCCCCACAGACGCTGAATGTTAAGTTTCTGCCTTCAGACCCCAATCACTTCGTCGTCGGCACCAGCATGGTGAGGGACATTCTGAACTCCGTTCAGGAGCTCGTTCCTCTTCCCGAGAGCGGGCTGGACAAGCGCCGGCTGGGAGACGGGCCCGCTGTCTGCGTCCACGTGGTTTCCAGAGCGCGAGCTGTGTGCAGCCTGTACCCAGTCCTTCATGCTGACTCTTCATTACAGGGTCTCGTCAGCCACGGCACCAGGCAGGACCTGCGAGTCTGTCCCAGAGCCTTCAGACCCCAGCAGCCCGGCGCAAGGCCGGTGCAGGTGAATGTGCTCGACTGCTCGCCCTTCGGAGAACCACTGTTCTTGGTGAGGAGGTGTCTTCAGTGCACCAGCTCTGTGTGGGCAGCCAAGCCCTTGGGGGGACGAGTGGGCTGTCGCCGGCCCTCCTTTACCAGGGCCAGCGCCACATGGTGACTGCAGGTCCCAGCTCTGCAGGTCATTCCGTGGCTGTTGCAGACATTCTTAAAACGTTTTATTTTGACCACCCTGGCCGGTTGCCTCAGCAGTTAGAGCGTTGGCCTGCGGACCTAAGAGTCTCAGGTTCGATTCTGGTCAAGGGCACGTACCTCGGTTGTGATTCAATCCCCACCCTGGTTGGGTCGTGCAGGAGACAGCCAGTCCATATGTCTCTCTCACATCGGTCTTCCTCCCTCCCTCCCTCCCTCCACTCTATCTAAGAATCAATGGAAGAATATCCTCAGGCGAGGATTTAAAAAAAAACTTATTTTGAACTAATTTCTCCTACTGGAGGAGTTACAGGAACACGGAGGGTCCCTGCCTGCCCCTCACGTAGGTGCCCCACACGTCACACAGGAGCCCTCTCGGCCCTGCCCTCCCCTGCGTGTGGCCTTTGTGACTGTCTGAGGTTGCAGGCAGCCCCCCCGTAGCTGTGAGGAGGTTTCTCCTGTAGCCCAGTGTCTCCATAGTCATCAGGAAGCCAGTGCAGGTGCAGCCCCTCGCCTGACCTGGAGGTGTGGCTGAAATGTCTGTCATCCCAGTGATGTCCTTATAAGCAAAGTAACCTCCCGGGTCATGCGTCTCATCAGTTATTATGTCTCTTCAATCTCAAACAGTTCCTCAGTTTCTCATGACCTTGACATCTGTGAAGGGCGTAGAGTGCTCCTCAGTTTGAGTGTGTGACGCTTCCTCCTGGTCAGATTCAGGTTTTGCATCCTCACCTCTCTGACAGCTCTCTGGGTAGGGTAGAAAGCAACACAGGAGTCACCGTCTTTCCTTTCTGATTAATGACTTCCTGTGGGGGGGACAGGTGGATGCTTCACTCATCACATCCTGACCTGCGCCCTCTCCTCACCTGCGATCCCTTGTCCTCACCTCTTGTCCTCACCTGCGTCCATCACCTGCATCCATTTGTGATCCTTGCTGTCATCTGCTGTCGGTGCTGCAGATGGTGGCTTTGCATCAATTCCATCTTTACTAGTTGGCTGTCTGTCTTCTCCCCCGTGTAGGAGTGTATGCAGGTGTGTGTGTGAGGTGCGTATGTAGACGTGCGTGTAGGCATGTTTGCAGCATGTATGTGCTGTCAGTGTTGACGCTGCTCCCTGCTCCCCTCGGTGCCTACAACCATTTGCTGCCTCTGGTCTGCTGCTCAGATTGTCCCAGTGACATCATTCTGTGAGCCTCTTTTGCTTTTTGGTGTAATAAACCCCGGAATCAGCCATTTCTCCAAGGAGTCCTGGCTCCGGTTAGGGAAAAACTCGTGGAAACCAAGATCTAGGCAGTAAGACGTGCCCACCATGCAGGACACAGTGACCAGAGGCCGGCGTTCGGTCATGTCTAGTTCTGGCCCTGGAGGGGCCTGGCTCTGTTCCCAGGATGTTCATTCGTCCGTCATCTCTCGAGGACGCAGGGCCTTTCGTGACGACTGGCTTGTGCCTCTGCCTCGTTGGGTATGTGACGGACTATGAGTGTAGAGCAAACAGGCTCCTCTTTGTAGCTAAAAACTTGGTCTTTTACTAAGTTTTGTTCTATGCAAATTTCCACCCAAGCAGCTATATAACTATATCATTAGCGCAAGTGTAAGTTGTTTTTTTTTTTAAGGAGGCTTATGTATTGTCATGGAGGCAGTCTTAATGCCCTATGCTTGGATCATCGAGATTCAACTTTGCTAAAAATAACTTTGCTGTTCATACATTCACTGAGCCCACTGACTACCAGCCATTTGGGAAGGGGAAGGGGTGCACAGTGTACCAGACTCTCCGAGGAGAATGCTCGTCTGCAGGGTTTGTCAGGGCAGCTTTAATGTTACATTTGTTTCAAAAACAAAACATAAATACAATTATTGTGCTTTTCAAACTCAAAAAGCTAATGCTTTGAAAAGTTTCCCTGGCCGCTGAGATGGGTGAGAGGAAGCAGAGCGTGACCTCCTGTCCCCCGCCAGGCCGGCTGCAGTGACGGGAGCATCAGGCTGCACCAGCTGGCGTCCGAGCAGCCCCTCCTGCAGTGGGACCAGAGCACCGAGGGTCGCGCCGTCACCGGCCTGCAGTGGTCCCCGGCCAGGCCTGCTGTGTTCTTCGTCCAGGACGAGGCTTCCTGCATTCACATCTGGGACCTGCTGGAGAGCGATCTGGGCCCCGTCGCCAAACAGCTCGTCTCCCCAGACAGGTGGGTCCCACGGGCCCCGCGCCGGCCTGTCACAGGTCGTCCCCGCGGAAGCGTCCGGTGGCTTTCACCTACGCACAAGGCTGCGACCTTAAAACCTGGCTACTTCTATTTACATTTAACTGTTATTTTTATATTTACAAATTTAAGTAATATTTTAAAAAACCACTTAGTGTGTTTATTTCAGCCTAGTCCAGAGCAGTCTGTGGGTGAAGGAATTCACGCAATGCTGTGTCCCGTCCTTGTACCCTGACAAGGTGAAGAAGAAACTGAGCCCCTTCGTGGTGCTCACTTGCTGGTCACGGGTTCAGTGTACACCTGAGTCTAGTTTCCGAACCAGGCTGCTACATGGGGCTCAGAAGTCACTTGATTGCACATCGGTGCGCCCCTCTGCCCAGAGTGAGGTCACAGTCATGCCTCCGCGTGGCCTCTGCGTGGATTCAGTGAATGTGGGGTGTGGGAAGGGCCACTGGGACGCTTCTGACCTTCCCTGTCTTGCTTTATTCATTGAAGCTTGAACTATTTATAAAGCTTTACTGTGACGGCTTCTCTCCCGATCCCCTTTGTCTGTTCACCTGTCTTTTCCTGAGCTGATCTATTTTGTGTCAGTGACCCCCCTGCTGCGAGGGCTCCAGCAGCCTGGGGAGGATGGGCCATTAGCTGGGCAGGTGGTCAAACAAGTTGTCTGACAGAGTGTCAGGGACATGCTGACAAGATGTGAAAAGAAATGAGAAGTATGTTTATTTAGGTCACATACTAGGCATATACGTTATTCTGATTATCAGCCCTGGCCGGTGGTTCAGTGGTTACAGCGTTGGGCTGCGGACCAAAGAGTCGCAGATTCGATTCCAGTCAAGGGCATGTACCTCGGTTGCGGTTCATTCCACAGCCCTGGTCCGGGTCGTGCAGGAGGCAACCAATCAACATGTTTCTCTCACATCAATGTTTCTCTGTCTGTCTGTCTGTCTCTCTCCCTCCCACTCTAGTTGAAGATAAATGGAAAAATATCCTCAGGTGAGGATTAAAAAAAAAAGTCATCAAAACACAGACTGTGATTGACATATAAACACATAACATACATGCAGTTTATTCCAAAAGAGTCTGTCCATTCCTTAACACGACAGATATTTACTGAGCACCTGCTATGTGCCTGGTGCGGCTCCAGGCCCCAGGATGGGCTCTCGTCCTTGTGGGGTGAGATGGGTGAGAAACACGTAAAGAAAATCTGTGGGTTCCACAGGGTGATGGGGGAAACAAGGAGGGCGGGGTCCCAAGTGTGGGCCCCAGCGAGTCAGGACTTTCCGTGGGCAGAGAAGGAGGTTCTGGCTGTGTTGGGGCAGAGGCTTGGGAGGTGGGGTCTGGGGACCGGCAGGTCCAGCAGTGCTGAGGAGACTGCCGCGTGGGGGCTGTGTCTGCCCCCCACACACCGTGGTCGGTCAGTGGTCAGTGCTGGGATCTCAGGAGAGGCAGCAGGCCTCAGCCGCACAGCAGGGAGCAGACAGAAGGCAGCCGTGGTCCGGAACCTCCTCTCAGACCTCCTGCGGCAGCATCTCAGCTGAAGCAGCAGCTGCTCAGGTTGTGCTCAGGCACTTTCTTCAGCTGGGACAGAGGCTCAAAGGCAGGAGTGCAGGTCGAAGGAGGAACTTGCTCCTTTAGAGTTAAATTGAGCCCTGGCCAGTTTGGCTCAGCGGTTAGAGCGTCGGCCTGCGGTCCGGAGAGACCCGGGTTCGGTTCCCGCTAAGGGCACGTACTTCGGTTGCAGTTTGTCCCCGGCCCTGGTTGGTCGTGCGGGTGGCAGCCACTCGATGTGTTCCTTTCACATCGTTGTTTCTCTCTCTCTCTCCCTTCCTCTCTCTCCCTCCCACTCTATCTGTACAAAAAATGGAAAAATATCCTCGGGTGAGGATAAAAAAAAAAAAAAAAAAAAAAAAGGAGTTAAATTGAAATGATGACAACCTGCTCCCTGTGGCCTGGGGGGCGCGGGCAGCAGACCAGTGTCAGACCGACATTGTTTTGTTTTGTATTCTGCCCTCTTTGCTTGGATTCTGTTCATATCGCAAATCTGAAGCACATTTTAAATTGGCCCTGATAGTACTGACTGGTGTTTCTGCACCAATTTTAATGCTTTTTAAACCTGCAGTTTAGGGAGGAGCTAGCTCTGTTTTCGGGCTTTTCTCAGTTGGTCCCCTTTTCTTCCCTTCCTGCTGCTGCAGCTGGAGTTCCTGGTTTGTGGTGATGCCTGGGACCAGTGGTGGTCAAGTGTTCCGTGGGTTTTAAAATTCTCACAGCTTGTAATTTTTAAAAATATTTTTCTTTATTGATTTCAGAGAGGAAGGGAGAGGGAGAGAGACAGAGATAATTGATGAGAGAGAAGATTGATTGGCCGCCTCGTGCATGTCCCCCACTGGGGGTCGGGCCCACAACCTGGGCGTGTGCCCGGACCGGGAATCAAACTCGTGACCGCTTGGTGCACGGTCAGTACTCAACCATGGAGCCACACCAACCAGGCTCACAGCTAGTAATTTTTCAAGTTTTGCCCTTTTGTGGTCTCACTAGGGTTGAACTCTCTCCTGCCCCTCCCCCCAGTGATGCTGTGGGTTCCCAAAGCCAGGGCCCAGGAGGTGGGACCAGATGCATCAGAGGGGCCTAGAGAGAGAGGTGGGGACATGCGGGCACGGGGCCCGATCGGGCTGTTGGGATGGCTGCAGGTCTCGATGGGCAGGCCTGGTCCTCAGGGCACTTGGCCTGCAAGACCCAGGTTGGCGAGTTTGCCTTCGTCCTTACCAGTGACAGGCACAAGCAGTCGGTCCAGTAGACCTCTAGTTCAGAGACAGGTTTTCTAAGTGGTTTTCATAGACTTTTTGTGTTTATTTCTGTTCTAACCTTTGGTCATACTGAAATGTTTAGACTTTCCCTTCCTGTCCACCCCCCTTGCATGTGAGAGACTTGCAGTCACACACACGTGCTTCTCGCTTTCAGGCTGGTGACCATGACAGTCGTGGGCGAACCAGAGAAAACCAGTGGCGGCTTCCTGGCCCTGGTGCTGGCCAGAGCCTCGGGCCGAGTGGACGTCCAGCACTTGAAGAGGGCGTGGGCGGCTCCAGTGGCCGAGGAGCAGAGGAGACTGTGGCAGCTTCTGCAGGGAGCGCTTTAGGCAGGATGGACAGCTGGTTATTCTGGGGGGGGCGCTGTGGGGGGGCAGTGCTATGGCGGGGACCTGGCTATGAGGGCTGCCACCCGAGGGGGGCCTGTCCCCCCATTGCATGTATATTATGTAGCTAGAACACATATATTCTGTACATACTCTATTTTACAGAATGTCACATCAATATTCCCAGTAAATAAATGACTATTTATTTTTAATGGAAATAACATTTTTTGTGTGTCCTGAATTTCAAAGGAAACAGTCATGTCTAGCACACTCTTTTCTGAGGACATTTCTACTTATATTTAGAGCAGCCTTAAAACACTGTCCCATTTACTACTAGATTTAAAACACGCGTGTTTGCACCTAGAAAACACAGCTTAGGAGATCCGTTTTGAATTGGGCTGTGGGTTCTGTTGCTGGGTTGTGGGAGTTCCTCGTGTATTACTGAGGCTTATTCTTGTGGGCCCATAATCTACCGCGCGGGCACTGAGGAGCTGGTCCTAGTCACTGGCAGGGTAAACGTCCCCACGTCTGGGCTTCGCCACCTTTCTCGGTTCATTAACTTGGATTCATCTTTTTAAATGACAGAACATTTATTTTGCTCTTTACAACAGAAGGTCAAAGACCCAGTGGCACGTCTGGCCCTGTGTTTCCGGTTGCAGAACTGAAAGCTGAGGGCCTGCGGGTGCCGGGCAGCTCCCAGGCCTGTCGTCTCGGTGACAAGGCCCCAGGCAGCCGCCGGGAGCCAGGGAGTGCCGCCCTGAGGACAAGATGCATCAACAGCGCGCCCTCGGGTCGTGGCTGACAGGGCAGGAGGGACCCGGCACAAGCTGCCCTGAGACCCACCGAGGCCCGAGCGCCTCCAGTAGGGGTCCCACATCCGAGGAAGGAGGGCCAGTCAAGGTTCATGCTCACATCCCGTCAGAGGGCCTTTCCCTTGTCACAAAGCTTCCGTGGACAGTTTCCCTTGGGGTTCCCAGGCGGGCAGCGGGAATCCACTCTCCCTTCTGCCGCCTCGGCGCCCTCCACTCCTCCTCCAGGTGTGCTGTGCACCTGCACCAGCGCCCTGACCGTCAGGCACACCGGGCTCCATGCCCCAGTCCCAGAACCACCACCGCCGCCTCCCGGAAGGACCCAGACAGGCTGCACCGAGGGGCAGGGGTCCTCGCAGGCTGACGTCCCTCGACGGGCAGCTGGGTTCCTTACTCAGCTTGTCTCTTAGGCAAGCCGGGGCCACACGCCTGACCTGTGCCCACCTCAGCCCATGGGGCCCAGTGAGCTGCAGGGGTCAGACCACCAAATCTTCCCAGGGATTTAAGGTGTTGAAACATAGACTGTGCCTTCAGCTGTCATCCCTGCACCCCCCGTCATCCCTGCACCCCCACTGCAATCCCTGCACCCCCACTGTCATCCCTGCACCCCCGCTGTCACCCCTGCACCCCCTGCTGTCATCCCTGCACCCCCTGTCATCCCTGCACCCCCTTGTCATCCCTCAACACACTGCCATCCCTGCACCCCCACTGTCATCCCTGCACCCCCGTCACCCCTGCACCCCCACTGCAATCCCTGCACCCCCCCTGTCATCCCTGCACCCCCTTGTCATCCCTCAACACACTGCCATCCCTGCACCCCCACTGTCATCCCTGCACCCCCGTCATCCCTGCACCCCCACTGCAATCCCTGCACCCCCACTGTCATCCCTGCACCCTCGCTGTCACCCCTGCACCCCCTGCTGTCATCCCTGCACCCCCTGTCATCCCTGCACCCCCTTGTCATCCCTCAACACACTGCCATCCCTGCACCCCCACTGTCATCCCTGCACCCCCGTCACCCCTGCACCCCCCGCTGTCACCCCTGTGCCCCCACTGTCATCCCTGCGCCCCCACTGTCACCCCTGCACCCCCACTGTCACCCCTGCACCCCCGCTGTCATCCCTGCACCCCCCCTGTCATCCCTGCACCCCCGCTGTCATCCCTGCACCCCCTGCTGTCATCCCTGTGCCCCCACTGTCACCCCTGCACCCCCTGTCATCCCTGCACCCCCGCTGTCACCCCTGCACCCCCACTGTCATCCCTGCACCCCCACTGTCATCCCTGCACCCCCCTGTCATCCCTGTACCCCCACTGTCATCCCTGCACCCCCACTGTCATCCCTGGACCCCCACTGTCACCCCTGCACCCCCACTGTCACCCCTGCAACCCCCACTGTCATCCCTGCACCCCCCGCTGTCATCCCTGTGCCCCCCCGCCCCAGGAAGTCACTGGCTCACTGGTCAGCAGGACAGCATTTCCCCTCACCTGCCCTGGATGCTGGGCATCCCTCTGTGACACGTTCCCTCCCTGATGGCAGCTCTAATTCCGTGTCATCGAGATGCGGATACAGCAGGAAGAGGCAGGAGCGTGGACAGCCCCTGACAGAAGCTGGGTTTGTTCAGAAAACTGGGAAGGGCCAGCCCCACCGGAGCAGCTCCCAGGTCCAAGGCAGGGAGCAGCTCTTGCCAGACACAGGAAGGTCCCTGGTCCCTGGAAGCAGGCACGGTCTCAGGGTCGTCCTGACCTGTCCTGTTCATCGGGCAGCTCTCAGATTCATGGGTCCTGGAAAATGAAACCTGAATTTTAGTTGCTCAGGAAATATGTCCACACTATGCCCAGGCAGCCGAAGCGTCAATGTGCTCCTCTAATTAAAAATTAACGTGGGCCCTGGCCAGTTCGGCAGCTAGAGCGTCAGCCCGAAGACCCTTGAGTCTCGGGTCCAATTCCAGTCAAGGGCATGTACCTCGGTCGCAGTTCAACCCCTGGTCCTAGTTGGGGTCGTGGAGGAGGCAACCAATTGATGTCTCTCTTCCTCTCTCTGTCTCTCTCTCTCTCTCTCTCTCCCGTTCGCGCTCTCTCTCTCTCTCTCTCTCTCTCTCTCTCCCCCGCTTTCTCTCTCTCTCTCTCTCTCTTCCTCCCACTCTATCGGAAGATAAATAGAAAAATATCCTCAGGTGAGGATTATAAAAACAACCAACTGATGTTGTGAGTTTAATGACAGGTTCACAATGAACGCACCCTTAGGGGTGCCCACTGTGACTCCGGCTTTCCCTCCGGGAGCCGGGAGGCGGGTCACTGGGGGTTCAGGGCCCCGTCTGGCATTTTTCCAGGGGTCCAGGAGCGGCATCCTGCTATTTATTCGACAAGTATGTGCTGAGTTTTCTCAAGAATAAATATAATTGCAATTGGGCGATGATCTCTGTCGAGTGTGACGAGGCTCAAACCCCGCAGATGGTGGTCAAGAGGCTGTGATGTTCCGAGCTGTGTGGACTGTGCCGGGACGCGACCTCGCCTGGAGTACAGGCGGCTTGGAGTGTGCACAGCTCCCTGGAGTCTGACTCGTCCACTCCGAGCAGGGCCAGAGCCAGAGGGCGAGGACTTGGACATGAGTTCAAACAGAATCCTTGAGTTCGGGGTCCCCGCCCCTGCTCTCCACCCTCCAGTCACCAGTTCCTCCCACTCAGGAAGACGCCCAGGGAGAGCCCGGGATCAGAGGCTGCAGGTCTGCCCTGCCCCCGCTCGTGTCTGTAATGTCTAACACCGGAACCCCTCTGCCCCACAGGCCTTAGGGCTTCGGTGAAGCCCTCCCTGAGGCCTCTGCCCTGAAGATTGTTCCGTGTTCCTGCCCAAGGGAAGATGCTGTGCCCTGCGCTTTCTCACGTTCCAGTGGAAGACGTGAGCCCTGACCCTTGGCTTTCTGCCAAGAACAGAGCGAGTCCGCGGGGATTTCGAGGGGATTTTGAGGGGTTTCCAGGATTGTCGTCTGAAATGGATGGTCTCACATACAAGCAAGAGCAAGTAGGGATGGCTGCGGGGTGAAGGCTGTCCTCTGCCCGCGGCCGCCCACGCGGAGCACCCACAAGCGTTGGGGGTGTCCGTGCACCGTGCTGCGTGTGTAGCGTCCTGAGGTGAAAGTCTGCCCCCAGGAGTTTGCAGTCTGTTTCCAGGTAGACATGTGACCTCCATCTCTGTTTCTAGGCCAAGCACCGCAGTGGGTGCTCATCGACATGGAAACCACTGTGGAATTGAACATCTGGCCACCCTGGTGCAGCATGCTTGGGCTTTTTTTTATCCTCACCCGAGGACATTTTTGCGCTTATTTTCAGACAGAGCGGGAGAGAGAGAGAGAGAGAAACATCGACGTGAGAGACGCATCGAGTGGCTGCCACCCACACAACCCCAACTGGGCCAGGGACAAACTGCAACCAAGGTGCGTGCCCTTAGCGGGAACTGAACCTGGGACTTTCTGGTTTGCAGGCTGATGCTCTAACTGCTGAGCCAAACCGGCCAGGGCCATGCTTGGGCTTTTATAACAAATGTAGGCTGGGGTATTGGAACCAACAGAAATGTGTTGCTCACAGTTCTGTCAGCAGGGAGGCTGAGATTGGGGTGCCGCGTGGTCAGGTTCCGGTTGCGGACTTCAGGCTTCTTGCTGTGTCCTCACGTGGTGGAAAGAGTCCGGTGGCCCCCAGGGTCCCTCTCACAGGGCACTGATCTCATTTGTGGGGGCTCCACCCTCACGACCTCATCACCTCCCTAACGCCCACCTCCAAATACCATCACCTTGGGGGTTACAGTTTCAACACAAGAATTCTGAGGGGCACACGTATCACCCTGATTCTGGGTTCCAGGACTGAAAGCTTGCATTTCGCTGCCTCTGAGCCTTTGGTGATGGTTCCAAGACACAGCTGGCCCAGGTGCGACCCACCAGGGGCTGTCCGGGGCTTCTGCAGAGTCTTGTGATTTGAATTTTTTAAAAAATGTTTTTGTTGAATTTTTAGAGAGAGAGGAAGGGGGAGAGAGAGAGAAACATCGATGTGAGAGAGAAATATAGATCGGCTGCCTCCTGCACGCCCCCTACTGGGGATCGAGCCCACAACCCGGGCATGTGCCCTGACCGGGAATGGAACCGGGACCTCTCAGTCCATGGGCAACACTCAACCACTGAGCCTCACCAGCCAGGCTTGTGATTTGAATT